CTATTGATAAGGCACTGCACCCTTCACAAATCATTCATGAACAAATGTGGAAAATTTGGTAAATAACTTTTTGAAAAAAAAGTTAGGGAGTCAAGCAAATTGTCTATTGTACATCACTTCCAGTTCCAAGCAAGCCTGTGTGACGTATTACGGAGTCATTAATCACTAAAAAGGTCAAAGCAAAGCAGTGTCAATCGCCAGAGTTCATCATATGTCAAGTACTTCTTAGTAAGAGCTTGGGTCACATCCGTGCCATACATTTAAAGCAAATGGCTCCCCCCCCCGAATCCTGGGAGCTGTAGTGGACACCTTACAGAGCCACAGTTCCCAGCACCCTTAAGAAAAACAGTTCCCAGGATTCTTTGCGGTGGGGGGGTGGGGAGTGTGCATGCTTCAAATGTATGGTGTTGTGACCATGGTCTCAACAGATGTTGGCTATGTTTTTACTGCTAAGACAGCTGTTCCTCTTTGATTTACCTCTCACTGAAAAGGGAAGAAAAGCAACTATCCAATAATGAGGACTTGTGATGAATATGTGGGATACTGTATTTGAAAAGGGCACTCCATCTGACTACAGTATTTTATGCCCAGGAAGACAGAAATAGTTGCAGTTTATTCCAGAATTCTTATCTTTCAGGCACCCTAGAAGGGAACAGTGCATAAAACTGCCATAGAGGTGTGTCCAGCTGTAGCTGCAGCAGAAACCTAACAATGTGAACAAACACTCACTGGGAACTAAGTTTCATCCTTTTCAGAGACAATATTAAGCATTTGTTTAAAAAATAAGGGAAAAGGGCAGTGGAGTGGGAAAATGTGCCTGCATCAACAAGACTGCATACAGGCCAGGCAACTCCATTCCCCTCTTTCTCTGGACTGTTGACCTTTGCAATTGAGAATTCCTCCTTCGGTAATTCACAGAGTGGGGTGTGCGTGTGAGAGAGCGCATGAGCGCAAGAAAACATGATTTGATAATCATTTCACGAGGAAAGTTTTTGTCATTCAGAGCCACACCTTCTCTGATAGAGCTTGAATCATAAACTGTGTACACACAGTCACACATTCAAAGAGCAACAGTATTAGAACAACTGCAGCTTCTTGCCCTCTTCTCTGAGGTATGTATTCTGCGCCTTGGAAATCCTTGCTGCATATCGTGTTCCTTAAAAACAAGTCCTCTTTCTAGGCTGTGCTCCAGTTACGTACCCTGAGGGAACTGAGGGGTTCACAGATGACCTTAGAGTCCTTCTAAATAACTTGGAGCCCCTTTAGGCTTAGGTTATGTTCACTTGTCGTTAATATGAGGATGGCAGTAATCGTGTTAGCCTGGTTGTTTGAAAGGTATGTTGTGTACTGAGATGACCTCTTGTGGGGAAGGACTGTGGCTCAGTGGTAGAGCATCTGCTTTGCATGCAGAAGGTCTCAGGTTCATTCTCTGGCATCTCCAAGTAGGGCTGTACATGTCTCCCATCTGAACCCCCAGAGAGCCTCTGCCAGTCAGTGTAGACAAGTCTGATAGTTGATCAACTGATAGTTGGACTCTGTTTATGACTGTTTCCTATGTTTGTCTTACAAACACATTGACACCAACATGTAAAAATGCCTGTGTACAGTGGTACCTCGGGTTACAGACACTTCAGGTTACAGTCTCTGCTAACCCAGAAATAGTACCTCGGGTTAAGAACTTTGCTTCAGGATGAGAACAGAAATTGCGTGGCGGCAGCGCAGTGGCAGCGGGAGGCCCCATTAGCTAAAGTGGTACCTCAGGTTAATAACAGTTTCAGGTTAAGAACGGACCTCCGGAATGAATTAAGTTCTTAACCTGAGGTACCACTGTATTTCTGATTTTTTCCTTCACACACATGCAGCGTGTAGTTTATACAGGCAGTACTTCTTACTCCCGAAGGAAGCGTTTTACTGTGTCCCTGGAGGCACTCTTTTAGTAATCTAATTAAAACAACGCCTACAACATCCTTGTCTTGAAAGACATGCAGGGTGCTCAGACGTTACTTCACCACCCTTCGCTATACATGGCAAGATTTTATATGTGGGCTGAAGCCTTGAGTTGGTGTATACTTTAAAGAAGAATTTAATAACCTGTGACAACTTCATCAGACGAGCTGGTATATTTATTCACCAAAATGTTATTCACCTAGAAATGAATCCGTAGGTTGCAGGGTCCTCCAACCATCAACTTACTTGTTTATTGAAATCTCTTTTAGAGAGAGCCAAGGGAGATAAATAAAGCATGCAAAAGCAGATACCCCATTGCAAAATCTCCTTGTCTGAGTGTTCAGTTTTGTATGCAGTACAGAGACATGGGTATGCAGTGTTGAGGCTCTCCTGATCTGGCCACGTAGGTGTGTGTATGCTGAGTATCGTCTTCATAATTGGGTGAAGAGTAACCTAAGAGGGCAATAATGTTTTTTCTTCCAACTCTGAACATCTAAAGCAGGGGTCTGCAACCCCGGCTCCGGAGCCGCATTGGTCTTTACTTTGCTGTGCCCGGGCGGATACAGCGAGGGAGAGCCATCCCGACACTCCCAGTGGCGGCGCTGTAGGCTGTGAGTCGCATGGGGCGTGCTGCGATGTACGCAACGTCACCCCCCCACTCATTTGTAAGGGCGGTCGCTGTCACGCATAAGGGGCATGGCTGTCATTAAGGGAGTGAAGAACACACACAACTAAAGGTAACGTTAATTTAACGTTTTTTCACGAATAATCTGACGTCAAACAAAGAAATAAAAAAAAGGACAAGGATTTTAAATGACTTTTGCGGTCAGTTTTTTTCCTCGGAAACGGTCCAGGTGGCTTTTTTGTCTTAAGTGCAGCCTGATTAAGATTGCTTATGCACAACATCTTTCGTTAATAGGTGCTATTTCTGCATAGGAAATTGCACATAGACCTTAACAAGTGATGAACATGAAGACTTCCCATCTGCTATGTATAGCAAAATACATGTATGCCGACATCACATGCAGTTTTGTGCTCATAGTTTCCTTTATGGCTGTGATAGCAACATAAGAGGGAGTTCATAATCAAAATGTCCAGAAATTTGAGTTCATATGGGGACTTCCGAGCAGCTTCTGAAGCCAGCCTGAGTGAACTGCTCCGGGTTGCTGAGACTGCCGCTGCTGAGTTTCCCAGGGACATTAGATGAAATCCGGGGACATTCCGGGGATGCAATTTGTCTGGGGACTTATTCGCAAATCCTGGGACTGTCCCCGGGAAACAGGGGCGTGTGGTAACCCTAAGAGTCCCCTAATTGTTCCCTAGGACTTCCTTCTCAAAGCCTGGGAAGCTTCTGCTCGGCTTAGGAAGGAAGGTGCAATGCTCAGATGGGTCCAAGAACCCTCCCTCCACCTTCCCAAAGCCCAGGAAGCTTTGGGAAGGAGGCAGGAGGGCTCCAGTATCCTGTCAGGGGCCTGGGGCCTTCTTCCAAAAGCATGGGAAGCTTAGGGAGGGATGTGATACTCACAGGCATGATGTGGCTCCCCACCCCCATCGCCCTCGCCAGCTGGCACCTCTGATCCTACAAAAAAAATCACCACATGCCATTGATAGTTAGGCAGACACTGCCCTAGAAACACAGCTGGAAAATGAGCTTTGTGTGACTCAAAAGCTTACTTCTCTTTTTGAAACCTTAACTGGTCTATTGATAGCGTATTGTCTGGTTTGCCTTCAACCTTTCCTGTGCTCCATTTCTCTTTGAGAGTAGCCTGACTTGGCAAATGTCATCCATTGTTCTTTTCCTTGAAGCGTCTTTTTACAGCGACTCTGGCTGGGATTCACTGCAAGTTGCTGTAGCTTGTTATGCTGCAGACAAAACCTCTCATCTGTTGCACAGTTTCGCTTCTTGCACTTTTCTTCCTCCCTTACTAAGCAAGGACAGGCTGTGCTAGCTTAAGTATCCAGATTTCTCCCTGCCCCAGTTTCCCTCTGCCTTTTTTGAAGGTGCATTTTTATCTGGGAGAGGCTTTTCCTCCCCTTCAGGAATTTGCGATCTGACTCAGCATGTTGAAAGCTATTTGCAGGAGGCAAAATTGCATTTACCTGGCAGGGAACTGATCTCGTGTTAACTCTTTGCACCTGGGGAGCAAGTTTGTGGGCCGACAGAGTCCTTTCCTAGATGTCTTTGGATTTTGAGGAAGAAAAATCTTTCCCGAGATCTCCGCTTTGCACAAGGCAGTGCTTGTGGCCACGTTTTGAATGAGTTCATGACACAGAACTAGTAATTAGTCTGCTTCAGACTTTGGTGGGTTTGTCTCAGAGAGAGGCCTGCTTAGGTTCCTCGTTAGCAAAGCTGCAGGGGCTGAGGAGTCATTACTATCTGGCTTTTCTTTGGATCTTCAGGGTGCTTTGTTGTTGCTATCACCTGCTGTAGTGTCTTGGTCTGTTTACTTTTTTGTAAAGGTAAGGAAGGTTTTATTAATTGTGTTGGTGCTGTGCTGGAAAGAACAGCAGGTTTCTAGAGACTTCGTTTCTGACAGTATAGTGAAGCTCGTTGAAGGGCTTCATTCAGGACAGCAATGCCTGTTGACTTGGCTGGGAGGAGTGAAAGAAAGTGTGTAGGCCCAGAGGAATGTTTTTCAGTCTGAGGGCTGCATTCCCTTCTAGGAGACCTTGTGGGGGCTGCAGTGGTGGGCAGGGCTGCAGGCAAGACAGAGCAATAGAAGGCTTCGTTCTAGCCATGCAACAAATCAGGTTTCTGCGTACACACACATACCCCTGCCCAAATCACACATGCATGTACCTTTCACTCCTGGTGAGCAAGATGCATTATCACCATTCAAGTACGCATTCTAGCCAGCAAAAGCACCAGAGAAGGGCTTGGAACAGGGCCAATGAGGTGTGTGGCTTGGAATTGGGACATGGCCAGGTTGGTCCTGAGAGTCAGATAAAGAGGCCTAGAGGGCTTTGTTTGGCCCCCAGACATGAGGTTCTCTACCCCTAATATAGACAAAACCCTCCTTTTCTAATTCTTCCCTTGTATGTCTTCTGTGCAGACGCATTGTTAGCAGACCTGGAATCCACTACCTCTCACATCTCCAAGCGACCAGTCTTCCTGTCAGAGGAAACATCTTACTCGTATCCAACTGGAAATCATACGTACCAGGAAATCACTATACCTCCTCCGGTGCCACCCCCTCCTTCTAATGAGGCCTTGAATGGGACTGTAAGTGAACCTTTAGACCAGTGGCAGCTCAGCATCCCCAGAAATATTCACCAGCAGGTAATTTTGCTTGTCTGTCTTAGTTATGCTCATGGAACTGAGGGAGCCAGTTGTTGGTGTGTTGTGGAGCAACTTATTGTCTTTTAAAATATTTGTATCCCATATTTCCGCTCAGAGCTGGTTTATGGCCATATTGATAAAAGCATTTGCTCTAATAACATAACATGAAAACTTTACTGCCAAGAACTGAAAATAAATGGCTAGTGATTGTTTAATGCTTCCATTTGGGATTGGACGCTTCCTCGTTTAATTGGAAGAAGCCTCCTCTGGCCAGCGATCTTCACATTGTGCTTGTTACCAGCTCAGTTTAAATGCTTACATGGAAACTGACTCTCCCCTCCCCACATAGCTCTGAGTAAACATGGCAGTACTCAGCTTTAGCTGGCAGCATAATGTGAAGATTGCTCAATTTTTCTTTCAGTCTGTAAAGCTAGACCTGAAGGTTCACGCCCTGAAAACACTACTCACAGTCTCCTCACCAGTGCCCTGTCTGAAGCCACAGTGGAATGATGCAGATCTTAATCAGTCACCTTGGGGCTTTTGGAAAAGAGATTGTAGTTTTGTAGATCACAGGTATATGAGCCATAGATCAGATTGGAGGAAGCATGAAATGTGTTTCTGGAGGGGGGTGAAGGCTAGCTCTAGGGAGAACAATTTGTTACCAGGTTGCATCCTGTTTGTTCCACATTCCAAGATCCCAGTCATGCATTGCATGTAAGTAGAGGGTGAGCTCTCAAAACTGTTTGGGCCTGTTCAAATGCGGAAGTGGCAACTTTTTGTAAAACTGGGGAGTGGGGGAGAGTAGTTTTCTTGCATGATCTGATTTTGTGTAGATATGTTTTGGAGGAAAGTCACTATTCTAACAGCTGTACAAGTTGGGTTGTGAGCCTGAGTGAGCAGCTGGCTCAAGGCCATCCAATTTGTGTATATTCCTGAGGAAATAAGTGAACTGTAACTATTGCTACTTTATAAAATAAAAGGTGCTAGGGTTTGATCTGGAAGCCTGTGTGTTAGGGGTAAACTGTGATTTGCTTCCTTGTTACTTTGCATGTTCCAAAGGCTGAATTCACAATGGGTTCTTGGAGTTAAGCTGCAGCTCAGACTAATCTGCAAACCCAAATGCTAAGACCAGCAGATTTAACTGAACCACATTGCTTTGCATGCACCCTGAATTGTTTTTGTTTTGTTTGTTTACAGCAAGGCTGGGGAACCCTTGGCCTCCAGACATTGTTGGACTACAGCTCCCATCATCCCTCACCCATTGCCTACACTGGTGGGAGCTGATGAGAGTTGAAGTCCAACAACATCTGGAGGGCTAAAGGTTCCCCAGCCTTGCTTTATTAGTACAACTAAAGAATAAAGTGTGCATTATGTGGAGCTCCATGTATCTCTCTCCTGACGGTTGAAGGAAAAGGAACATCTGGGGGCTGCATTTGGGAGCTGAAAAAGGGGCTGCTTATTCCTTTCCAGCTTATTCTGCTTTGTGTCCCCTCCCCCCCTTGCCCGCCCCTAGACAGCCTCTCCTCAAGCTGCTTTTCTTGGGGGTGGGAAAAGCACATGGGAGAAGAATATTCTGAGAGAGGCAGCAATCAACAGGAAAGGGTTAAGGGCCTACTTGCCATTCCTTGGCCTTTGATTTCAGTCTTCAGTGGCAGCTTTTCATTTTTTAAAAAAATGTCAGGGAGAGCTCCATATGAAACCTGATTTTTACTCTGACGGTGTGCTGTCAGCCACCCAAATTCATCATTGGCTATGAACATACTAGCTGACCTTAAGTAGTCCACTACCTGCCAACCTTTCCCTCACCATCATCTGCACTAGGGATTTTAATGGTGGCTTGCAGTGAAGATTACGGTGACCATGGTTGTGTTTCCATTGCAGTGCTAAGCCATAAATCCGAGACTCAGATCTTAGCCATATATTCCTATTATGTTCAGATCTGGAAACTATGGTCAGTGGCTTCCAAACAAATTCAGGTTTTAAGCCAGTTTCAAACTGTGGCTTCATATCCTGGCTTGTTCTGACCATAGTGTCTGAGTGCTCATATAACAGGAAGGGAGGCGCAAAGACACAGGAGAAGGGTTGTCTGCAAGTGCAGTCTTCTCATTTTGACTTAGTTTTGTGTGTTAATGTGACAATTTTATAGGATGGGGGTGGGGAACCTCATACCCAGCGGCTGACAGTGGCTCTCCAGGTCTCTCTGTCTGGCCCTTGGAACTCTTCCCCAGGCCACACCCATCCCCTCCTCTACTTTGCACTCCAAGTGTTTCTGCCTTTTGCTTGTCTGGAAGAAATATAGAGAGGGTTGTGTACAGTGTGTGTAGAAAGCAGCCTACTGTGCAGAGGTAAAATTGACATTTGTTGCTGTCCCCACTTTTGACTCTGGCCCTGTCCACCACTGACTTGAGGCCCTCAGAAAGTTGTACATGTGGCCCTCAGGTTGAAAAAGGTTCCTCAGCCCTCATTCAGTGCTTTGAATTTGAAAAAGGACTACCTACTTGTGCTAAGATCCATGTGCAGCTCAGTAGTTGGGTGAAAGTCTCTTGCACAGAGCTGGTTTTGGAACAGAGGTTTTGACTCATATACACTCTCTCTGTCTCTCTCCTAATAAATTTAAATGAAATGTGCAAATGGTTTTTTCTGCAGCCACAGTCCCAGTCTCCTGTGTGCAGCTCCAGCACTTCGGTGTCCAGAGAGTGTGCCATCTCTCCTTCACGTGTAAGCGAAGAGGAGCACGTCTACAGGTAGCCCACTATTCCCATGCTTACTCTCCCAAATCCCCCCTACACTCAGAGCTTATGGTGAAGCCAGGAGCTGGTTCCGCTTGTGGTGGTCGCAAAAATATTGGGCACCCATGTTGATACCACTTCCTGTTTCACTTCAGAGCTAGTTCTTGGGGATCTTTTCCTACTGCCTTTGTGGAATAACATTCCATAAACAGGATTTTGAGGTGGCGAAATGCAGTTAACTTTCTCTAGCACAGCGGAGTTAGGAGATCAGGATTTTTATTTTCTGCTTTGCCATTCATTTTCGATCTGCCTTCGGTAATTTGGTTTTGATCACTGTATCTCCAGCTGTAAAATGGAGATTTGGGTGGCTGTCATTCCCAATCAAAGTTATTTTAAAATCTGTAAAACAAAAACACTATTTAAGCCAATCTAGCAAAATGCCACCAAGGCATCTCAGACTGCATCATAAATTGAAGCTCTTTGTGTGTGTGTGTGTGTGTGTGAGAGAGAGAGAGAGAGAGAGAGAGAGAAAGAGAGAGAGAGAGAGAAGGAAGGAAGGAAGGAAGGAAAGAAAGAAAGAAAGGAAGAAAGAGAAAGAAAGTAAGTAAGTTCAGGAATATGCAGCTAACTGCAGCTCCATGGTGATGGTTCTTAGAGGCTAGAGTGGCTCTTTAAGGTGCATTGCAAACAAAGGTGGCGGGGAGGAGCTTGGATGGATGCTGGCAAGAAAAATTACATGTACTTAGGTTTTAATTCCCTTGTACCATAAAGACAAGTGAATTAAGCTGTACACTCCCTCACCCCCAGTAGGTTTTGGGGAGAGAAATAAGAGAGGGCTCCACATCAGGTATATTCTGGGGAAGGGCTATAACTTTGCGGTGGAGCCCATGCTTTGCATGTGGAACTCTAGATGCATCAGCCCTCGTTGTTGCCAACTCAACAGTAAAACCACAAATGGGATGCAAATAAGCCATTTGGGGTTTATCACTTTTGATGACTTGGAACTGCATTTATATAGAAGTAAAAACAGCAGCAACCATCCCTGCAAACCTATAATGCAAGTAACTTAACAAGGTTTAATAAGAAGATCTGTGATCAATTCACTTTCCTTTTGATCCCTTGAACACCAGTTTCCCCAACAAGCAGAAGTCTGCAGAACCATCTCCCACCCTGATGAGCTCTTCGCTAGGCAATAACCTGTCAGAACTGGACCGACTGCTACTGGAACTGAATGCCGTTCAGCACAACCCTCCCAGCGGCTATGCACCAGGTAGGAAGCAATAGCTCTGGCAGCACAGGACAACCATAGGTAAATTTGATGGCGGGAGTCAAATTCCTGTCCCCTGATCCTGGATCTGTTGCCTGCCCCATGCACATGCTGCGCTCTGACTCCCAGTGTAACTGAGATGCCTGCAGACACACATTTTGGTGGTCCCGAAGTAGCCCTTAAGTTATAATTTGAGGAATTAAAGTACAGGGAACTGAAGTGCCACATAATATTCATTCTGCACTTGTAGCAAATGGGTCTTTTAGCATGACAATACCTATAATTTGGAGCTCCCTTCCTATTTACACCAGGCAGATGCTTTTATTGTACTTTTTTGCTGCCTACTGAAAACATTTTCTTTAAGCAAAGCCTATCCAGGCACAGAAAATGCTGACATGTTCTTTAATCTCTCTAAAGTTGATCTGAATTATCTTTAGATATCTTCTTTGATTGCTTGTTTTTTAAGCTGGTTGTTTCCCCCCTCGATAATTTTTCTGGTAAACCATTTAGAGGTTGGTTCTATTACAAGCAAGCAAGCGTGCATTTCCTTTTGAATAAATAAAATGAATAAAAAACATTTGCCTGTGTCTTTCTGCTTATAAGATGAAGCCACTTCATTGCCTGGTGGGACTGGATCTCACTACGGTGTCCCTGAGAACACTACCTCTTTGAACACACAATCAGCAACCCCACCGAAGGAGAAGCCCAAGCGGAATGGAGGGCACGGCATTGAGGACGTGTGCCCTAGCGTGGAGAGCCTTTTGGATGAACTGGAAAGCTCTGTGCCCAGTCCAGTGTGAGTAACAACTTGACCACTTTCTCCCTTCCCACTATAATGCGGGGGCTCCCTGGGCGGTGCAGGAAGCAGTGGTGTCTCACGTCAGAGAATGCAATATGGGCCAGTTTCTGGTTCCTCAAAAGAGAAGGGGAACTTCTTTCCAAAGAAGAAATGGAAAACAGGGTCCCATGGGTTGTGTCAAGGGTCAACAAGTGCTCTCATAAGCAGAAGCAGCAAGGGTGAAAAGACGCAACCAGGGAACCGATTGGTGTGATTTTGCAGTTTACAAGAGTGGGTCTGAGAAAAAAGATAAAGAGTCTGACGACATTTAGAGGTCAATAGTGGAAGCTTAACTAGAGAGAGGAAAAAGGAAGCCAGTGTAGAGGAAAGGGGAGCATATTGTGTCAGCAGAATGGGTTAAGTAAGCTGCAGAATTCAAGAGGGAGGAAAGAGGTTTCTGAGAGGAAACCGGAAAGCTGAGAAGTGTTGCAGTAATCACTGCAAGCAAATAATGAGTGTGCTCGAGAGCATTACATCATTCAGGAAGAAGAAAAAGGTGGGCTTTGTACATGTTACAGAGCTGAAAGCAACAAGGTTCCACAGCTATGACTGTTGAGAGAGAGGGAGAAAGAAAGAAAAAGAGAATTTTAAATTAAAGAGAGAGAAAATTTTAATTAATTGATTTTTAATTAATTAATTTTAATTAATTAAAAGATCAGGAGGCAGAGGCTTGAGGGCAGAGGAAACAATGGAAGTGTCTCTTAGAAGGCACTGTGTTTGAGAGAGAGTAGCTCTGTTTCAGTTATATACAGTAGCTCTCTTTCAACTTCCAGCATCTCCAGTTAGGGTTTGGAGAGACCTTGGAGAGCTGCTGCCAGTAGCTGGAGAGAGTACTGGGCAGATGGACCCATGGTCTGACTCTGTACAAGGCAGCCTCCTATGAAAGGGAAGGGGCCATAGCTCAGTGATAGAGCTGCTGATATGTATGCAGAAGGTCCCATGTTCAACCATTGGCATCTACAGGTAGGGCTGGGAGAAAACCTCGTCTAAAACCCACTGCCAATCCATGTTAGATGAACTAACTACAGTGGTGCCTCACAAAACGAAATTAATTTGTTCCACGAGTTTTGTTGCCTTGCGATTTTTTTTGTCTTGTGAAGCACGGTGTTGGGAAAGTTTTGGAAAAGCTTCAAAAATCACCAAAGTCTTTAAAAACCTCAAAAAAGGCTACCACACCGCGTTCTATGAGTTGCTCCTCGAAGTCAAGTCGCAACTGTATTAACGGTGTTAAGAAAAAGGAAACAAACTTGCAAGACGTTTCCGTCTTGCGAAGCAAGCCCATAGGGAAAATCGTCTTGCGAAGCAGCTCAAAAAACAAAAAACCCTTTTGTCTAGCGAGTTTTTTGTCTTGCAAGGCATTCGTCTTGCAAGGTACCACTGTACTGAGTTAAATGAACCCAATGGTTTGACTTGGTATAAGGCAGCTTTGTGTATCCTCAAACCAGGCCCAGGTTCAACCAGATCTGAACGTAATGGATAGTTGTGCCCATGCATGCCTCAACAGGAGAGTGTACCTGTCTCCAAAAGGATCCACAGTTTTTATCTTCTGTGTGACAAGAGCCAGATACAAGCAGGAAGATTGTGGATAAAACAGTTCGGTGGGAGGCAGGGAGGACGCCTTGCTGCGTGTCCTTGGGAAGAAATGGCCACCTCCCTCTTCTTAGCAGTGTGTGACTGTCTTCCGTCTTTCCCTTAGTCCAGCTATCACTGTGAATCAGGGTGAGATGAGCAGCCCCCAGCGGGTCACCTCCAGCCAGCAACAGACTCGCATATCTGCCTCATCAGCCACAAGAGAACTGGATGAGCTGATGGCTTCACTTTCTGATTTCAAGGTACCCAGTCAATACCATTCATTCCTTTCCCACTCACTTGTCAGTGTGTCGCCTCCACTTTTATTTTCCTGAACCGCTCTCCTCACCCTGCTGCATATAGGACCACCCTCCTTTTGGTGTTCGTGTCTTAGAGCGAGCTCTACACTGGCTGCACATCTATTAAGACCCTGTACTTTTGGGTCTGTGGTGCATGGATTCATTCTTGCCCTCATGTGGCATGCCTCACAAGTTGTACACAGCACATTCTTTTTCTTCTGCTGATTTCAGAACTGAGCTGTCTCTTCAAGGAAATACAGTTTCTTCAGTCACACATACTGTATACTAGTTTGCACATCTCATGTATACCTTGCTAAATATGCAGGAACACTCAGCCCTGCCCCCCCCAAAATAAACCCAAAAGACAGGATGGGAGAGAAGAAACTCTAAGCAAGTGTGCTAATGCAAAACCAGAATTGTGTGTGTGATTTATGCAGTGCTTGATTGTAAAAAAAACACCCGGAAGTCATTTTTAAAATAATAAAACAATTGGTAAAAACAGTTAAAAACAAGTATTTAAAATATTTCAAAAAATAAAATCGGTGATAAACTAAAAATAGATTAAAAAATATGTTAAGAAGATACCACTAAGAATGGTATTTTTAATCTCTCCTACTCACAAGTAGATGGCAACCTTTCACATGAGTAGTTCAGCACAAAACCATGATAATGCCATTGTGGGAGCATTCTGTTGAGTATCCAAAAGAATCTGTTAAGAAAAGTCTGGGATAGAACAGTTTCAATATGTGCAGTTTTCACCTGTTTGTGATCTTTTCCGTGTTCACGTAGCAAACCTCCAGTTCTTCCTTTTTTGCTGATTAAAATTCAGTGAAAAATCCAAGGAAGTCGTAGGAGCGTGGCCTTTTCTGTATTGATGAAAGAAAAACTTACTACAAGTGAAGTTATGAGGTGTTAAATTCACATTTTACCCAGCAAATGGGGGGCAAGAACTATAGCACATGTCACATAGGAACTTGCAGCTTTTGGGATGGAATGGCTCCTTGCCAAGAACAACATAGAGGAGACAGCCTGAGAAGTAGCAGAAGAGACAGACATGCCTGTTGGATAAGGGGTGGGGGAGAAGCCACACACACAGAGAGAGAAGAGGATAGGTTCAGGCTTCAAGAATAATACCATGAGAAGGACCCCTTCTTTGGTGAGAGTAATGTGAGCTTCATTTGATGCTGTAAAAGAAAAAGCAGTAGGCTAGGGGACGCGGGTGGTGCTGTGGTTTAAACCACAGAGCCTAGGACTTGCCGATCAGAAGGTCGGCAGTTCGAATCCCCGCAATGGGGTGAGCTCCCGTTGCTCGGTCCCTGCTCCTGCAAACCTAGCAGTTCAAAAGCACGTCAAAGTGCAAGTAGATAAATAGGTACCACTCCAGCAGGAAGGTAAACGCTGTTTCCGTGTGCTGCTCTGGTTCGCCAGAAGCGGCTTAGTCATGTGGGCCACATGACCCGGAAGCTGTATCCCTTGGCCAATAAAGCGAGATGAGCGTCGCAACCCCAGAGTCGGCCACAACTGGACCTAATGGTCAGGATACCTTTACCTTTTTAGGTAGGTAGAGGTGCAGACCACGAAGACAGAACATGGGTGGGAGATTGTGAAAGTGTGAATACAGAGGAGAGTGGTGAGGTTCAGGATTTGAGCACCTGCAGAGATGAACCATAATCACCAGATCCCCAGCTTTCAGTTTTTATTTTATTTAAAAAAGAGTGAGCTTCTATCATTTATGGAACCCTGAGACATGAAGTAAAATATATAAGTAGTAGTATTTTTGCGAGAAACTCAACTGCTTCCCAGAGCCATAGCTAGGTGATTTTGCGTCCCTGGAAGAACCATCCAGATTGCACCCCCAGCCTTAGACAAATTAGCTCTTCTTTCTGCCTCTTCTCCAACCCCAACCCATTCAATTCACCCTCTATTAAAAACCTTTTCTTATGAGGCAGTAATCAATATTTTTATTTATAGACATATTTTAAAGCCGATTTTGTGCCCTACCCTCATCTGCGTCCCTGGCGAGGGCCCACTTCACCACCCCCTAGCTACAGCATTGCTGCTTCCCCATGCTAATCACTCTGACAGCTCACAGTTGTTTTTCTGTGCTCTTGTGTGTCTTGCAACTAGCGTAGAAGAACAGCTGGAACAGCTTGGTGCTTTTTCTTGTTCTTCTTTTCAAAAAAAGAGATGCCCATTTTGTTGATAGATTAGTTTGGTTGCTGCTGTCCTCTGTGACACTCCCCCTTCAGATTTAGAAAAGCAACAGCAACACTAACAGTAAAAACAGATATTTTAACTTAAAAGAATGATAATTGTAGCCCACTTGATTGTCACAAGAAATTCAGCATAACTAGCAAAATTAAAATAAGATATAAAATAGTCCATAATTGCAAACAAAATAAGATACAAAATAACCCATAACTGCAAACCTAAAAGCTAAAAATATCTCTCTCCCCGCCCCTGTGTAAGCAATTATTTTTGAGAAGCTGAACTGTACATCTGTAGCCCTTTTTCTCTGTGCTTGTGGAGATGACAGCAAACATGCAGTACTAGTTAAAGAAATGGTTGAATTGCAGTCAATAAGTTTGTCAGATCTTCCCCTTCCTGAATGATGGGCATTCATTATTCCCTCTAAAGTTTGTTGTGCACGTGAGACTGAACATGTGGATTCAGAACAGAGCGTTGTTGTTTGGTTTAAAGGGATGCAGTCTCTGGCCCGTATCTCTTTTCTTGTGGATCCAGTTGCATGAGGATGAGCGTGTCCCTAGAATCTTCTGTTGCAGGTCCTCCAAGCCTTCACTTTCATTGCTACCTGAGCAAGCAGTGGTGTGTCTGTGTGTGGTGGGGATGGTGGCTTCTTGAGCAAGCTTGCGGCTCATGTGTCACAGTTATGTCAAGTGATTGTTGGCTTCCGGGTTGGTTTCTGGTATAACCGACTTGGGTGACCTAGTTCTGTGAAGAGGGGAGGACAGAGACAAAAGAGTGCTTGCTGGCTGCCTATTGTAAGAAATCGCAGCACCCTTTCCAGATTTCCATTCTGCCTTCTTGTTCCTTCTGGCTAGCCTTAGGTTAGAGCCATTTTCCTTTTCCCCATCACTTCCCTACTCCTCCTTTCCCCTTCTTCCTCTTCCTTCAATTCTGTTTCCATCCTTTCTCCCCTCCCATATTTCTTTATCTTCTCACAGACCTCTTCTACCATATCACTGATCTCTGAACCCTCCCTGGAGCTACTTCCTGGCCCAGTTGGCTCAGATGCAGCCCATGTGCTTCCTAGTATATCTTTCCTGACTACCTCAAAGCAGCAAGCCATGGGCCACTCTGAGGGTGTTCTGTTCCCTCTGGCACCTCTCCCATTGGAGGTACTCCATATTGAAGAGGAAAGCAACAGCCCAGTCACTGCTGTGATTCAAGAGCAATCTCTCATCATCCCTTCCAGACTCTGGACTGAGCCACTGCACCCAGAGACCTCTGCTACTCTCACAAGCTCGGACGGACCAAGCAGAGAGTCCACTTCCAATGTGAAACTTCTCTCATTTTCCAAGGCGGAGTCATTGCCCATTCATTCTGATGTAGGAACCCTGAATCAGAGGCTTGCAGAGCCAAAAGGACCTTGGAGGGATGAGCAGAGAGATGAAACCCAGGCTGCAACAATGCTTGTTTCAAACTCCTGCATAAGTGGCAAGGTGAAAGTGCCAGTGCCACAAGAGTTGGAACCTGTGTTTGATCCAACAGCTGATGCTCACAAAGGGATTGGCATCAACAAAGGAGCTTTGGATGATCTGAACAACTCTAAAGCACCTCACTTTGCACCAAGACTACAATCCGAGGGAGACTGCGTCGTGCCAACAATGCACAGACCTGGTCCTTTGAGCGTTGATCAATGGGAGAACTGTCCAGGTACCAGAAGCCACTTGGGCCAGAACATACTGCATGGTACTGAAGTCCAAGATCCAGCCAGGGCAAGCAGCTGTCCTGATGTTGCTGAGAAGAGGCAAGGTCCAGAGAGGATGCCTAGGAAAAACAGCCTCCAGAATGCTCCGATGGCTGAATGGAAAGAGCCACTCTCCTGCGTAGCAGCTGCTCCAGGGTCGATGGGAAATACCTGGAAAGAGGAAATGGATCTGATTCCTTCTTGCAAGATTCCTGTGGAGAGGATTTCTACGTCAGGCCAGGCAGGCATCAAAGTGCATGTAGTGGCGAGTGAGCTAGTGTGGATTTCTTCTGCTGGTGCATCTCATTTGGCTGTGCATGGTGTGCTTTTGAGTCCTCTGAATTAAGCTGCTTTGCATGCTTCTCTGAAGTGAGACTTAGTAGCAGCTGCATGGGACTGTGAACTGGGAACCCCATAGGGTTGTGAAGACATACCAGCCACTTTCATCCCTCTTCGTAGTGGAAAGTGTGGCCTGGAGAGAGAGAGGGCCTTGGAAGCTTATAACAATTAGAGCTCAATGGATCTCTTCCTAACAGCCACCCACTTGCTAGATTGTTTTGCACAACTGGTGTGGTGGAACATTACCTATAAAAGGTCAAGCTACAAGAAAATCAAACCACCATAAACTAGACTGTTTTGATGCTGCATCTGTTCTCCTACCTATGGAATTATTATGAATATTATTAATTTTTAAATTTGTATACCGCCCTATACCCGCAGGTCTCAGGGAGGTTCACACCTTGATGAATCTGTACACCTTGATGCTCTCACTGAGCTGGCAGGGCGGGATAGTCCAGCGCCTCCATGAATTTACAGTGCTCTGTGCATGAAGATACTGCCATTGGTTGTGGTGTTTTAAAGCTGTTCCTAACACTTGATCTAGCACATTTGGCCTCGGAACATAGGACACCACCTTACAATGAGTCAGGCCATTGGTCCAGTTAGCTCAGTATTGTCCATGCTGTCTAGCAAGAGCAGCTCTTCAGGGTGTCAGGCTTTTCCAGCCCTACCTGGATATGCTGGGGATTGAACCAGGGACCTTTTTGCATGCAGAGCATGTAAACTACTGAGCCATGGCCCTTCCCCTACTGCAACAAATTATTTGCTCTCTGTAATCAGTTCTGTTTGTTCAGCTGACAGGGCTGACCTTGGAAGACCTTTCTCAAGGTTGACTTGCTGCTTGGGGATGGGCCAAAAGGATTTGTTGTTGTTTTCATCCCTCCCCTCGAAGAGGCAATGGCTGCTGTTTTTCCTGCTCCTGGTCACTAACCGTTCTTGAGCTTGAAGCGTGTGCATCCTGTGTTTTTGTTACCACTGCAGCTCTTGTACTGAAACTGCCATTTCCCTCCTGTTAAGATAAAATCTGTAATCAAGCAGACAAAAGAGACTTCCCACGTGCACCCGATGTGCCGCGATCTCTCGCCACGGCGCAAGCTGGGCCCAGCCATATTTCACAAGACGGTCTCCCAAGACCGCTTGATTGAGGAACTGCAAGACAGGTTGGGCATCAGCAAACCTGAACAGGAGGAGTGGAGAAGCCCAGACAACTGGATGACCGAGGGAGTCATCATTATCTCCAGGCCACAGAAGAAAGAGCAAGATGGTAGTCAGCAGGTAGAAAAGGTAGAGAGCGTAATGCCTTGTGGGTTTTCTTGTCTCTCCTCCAGGAGTCTCCTATCTGGTATATTGAAAATGGCTTAAAACACATCCGTACAGCACTTGTTAGCATGCAAAGTGTGGAGACGTAATCCACATCACATCACAGCTCAGGAATTACCTTTCACCCTCTTGGTCCAAGAGAAGCAGCCAGCTGTGTAAGCTTCACAGCTTACTGTGTGCATCAACCATGCTGAATGCTCAGGGACTAGCTCAAGCTCAAGCTTCTGGAGTAGCAGATGAGCACATGCAATTCCTGAAATGAGAAAAGTACAGATATGCCATCAGAATGCTTATACGAGTAAGAATCTGCCCCTGACCACCAGTGTTTCGTTGAACACCAGGAGAAAGCAAGGGGATTCAAGATGGGTTTGTTGGCCAGATGATTAACAGCAAGGTCTTAGTGTGTCTTGAGTGTTAAACCTGCTGGAAACCTACTGGAGATTTACTTTTTGTCTAGATGACTCAGATCACCCTTACTGTTTTTCCATGCTGGCTTGTGACCTAGATCCCTCTAGTTGAACATGGGAACTTGCCTGTTTTCACTGGAAGGCATTTTAAATGAGGAGTGTGGGACCCTGGATTTATTAATTTTTGTTCTGTAGGTATGACACACTCAGAAGTAGAACAATATTCCAATTTTTTACTAAATGAAACATGATTTCATTGCCACATATGTTTCTGCAGATTGAAAGTCCATAAAGGCAGATTCTGGCTATTATTCCCCCTCATGTTTGATTATACTTGACTATTGCATTAGTTTTTTATAATTTCTGCTTGTTTTGCGGCCAGACTAAGGCTCTGCACTCAGGTGTGGGTCACTTCTTTCATTTCATGTTTTCTCCTCCTTTCTCCTCCTCAATTCCTCTGGACTAAGTGCCTCTGGACTTGTTTATGTTTTCTTCCTGCTTCCTTTCTAGGTTATAATTCCTGCAGAGTCACCCCTCCCTCTAAGAAGGACAATTGCTGTTCCACCCTCTCCCCCACCACAGTTTCCTAAAGATGCTTCAAAGGTTGCCTCTGTCAAGGCTGCCTTCTCTTCTCCTCTCCCTCACCCTCCGCCGCCACCTCCTCCCTTGCCGCCGCCACCACCGCCATCTGTGCACGTCCCCCAGCTGCGCTATGTGCCATCAGCTCCACCTCCTCACCCTCTGCTCCAGTGGGAAATGCTTCTGGAGGAATGCCCCCCTTCCCAGGCACAGATCCCAGCAGAACCAGTTGAAGTGGCCTCTCCTCCCAAGATGGTGGTGTCAGTTGGTTGCCAAACGGATGAGGATTCATTCTTCCCGCCAGAGCAGGCATGGTCTCCTTTCTTTGGGTTCCTGACTTACTAGAATAGTGCCAGTGTGAGCCCAGCAGATACAAGGTTGTTCATTTGGGGGGGGGGTCCTCTTAGACTGAATGTTTGGGCATAAGCTTATTCTAAGCTCACAGGGAAGAGCAACTATTTGGATGCTCAGGACAGAAAACACATTTTAGCTTTCATAGTGGTGCTAAGTACACATGAGTGCACTCTGCCATGTGCACGGAGTTGGGAGTAGTGCCACAAAGGTAATAGCGCATGGCCCACATTCTGGGCAGAGGTTGGGTGAAGACTGAGCTAGATGTACGAAGCGGTCTGTGTAAGGCAGCTTACTATGTGTCCCTCTGTGGCCCATAGAAACTTATTGCACAAGCGCTTTTCTTCTGCCTTCATGAGCTGTTCAAGGGTTTTTGGGAGCACCTGAGCTTTTCCTACGAATCCTCATGCTCCACGGTTTTAGTATGGTTGCATACTTGCTCCATGCTGGTGTTTTTATTTTTAAAAGTGCTGCAGAACCACCTGTATGCCACATAGCTGAGTGCTCAACTTTCTCCATCAAGTGGCAATGATCCCAGGCAACGATCAGTTCCAGTTCACTGTAGAAAAAAGGCTGCACACAGGTTATGTGTGGTAAACCCACCTTATGTATAAAGTCGAGATATATAATAATAATAATAATAATTTATTATTTGTACCCCGCCCATCTGGCTGGGTTTCCCCAGCCACTCTGGGCGGCTTCCACAGAGACCAAAAATACACTAAGAGATAGACTTTCCTTATCTCACACACCTTTGTAATACATTTAATGGACAGCCATTATTTCCATTTTACAGATGTGAAGGTTTGGACTCTTTAGCCCTTCATGCCTTAGCTAGGACTAGGGTGCAGGACTTTCCCTGAATCCACGTCCAGTGGCCTTTCTGCTGGCTTTCTCACATCACTGCAGCTTTCAGCCTGCTAGGACTCACTGTGAATTATGCTTTTCAGGTCTCGTATGCTCCACCTCCGGACTGGGGCTCCCAAGTTCTTGCCGTTCGTCCTCCCACTCCTGAGAAGGCAGGGCATCCTCTCTCTCTTTTTTTCTGTAGCATGGCGTGTGGGAAACACTTCTCTTGGCATAGATTTGATTGGTACAATTGCAAGTTTTCTGCAGAAATGCAATTTTGTGCTTTTGCCTAAGGCTCAGCCTGCTTGTTTCTAATTAGTACGGGGAAGCAACAGTAGGTCTCTTGAAACCAGCATGATTTTTGAGAGCTTGTGGCATGACCTGTTCAAGGACGTGAGTTTAGTGGCTGGAGAATGGAGAAGAAGCAACAAACGTTCATGCAGTTAACCAAGTAAAAAGTATGAATGTCTTCCCAGCATGTATTGAGCGAGGCTTTTTTAAACAAGGTATCAAATGCTCAAATATATTTAATAATCCCAGGGAAGAGAATATATGTTTGTTAGGACTTGTCCTTTATTTTTTGCCGTGTTGCTTGAACATATGTATATCACAAGAATAAAGTAGAATCATTTTCTGGGAGAACTGCATGCTGCGCCCCAGTCTTATCAATCACCAGTCACCTATGGCGAGTAAAAACTGACCACAGGTTAACCAAGCAGGAAAAGATGTGCAAAATCTGGCTTACTCTCTCTTTTCAGGCCATGACTAACTAACATGTGTGATCAGGTGGGCTAGTAAGAAATAAACAAACAGACTACTAATATTTGCAGACTTGCATGTAAACCTGTCATTCTAACCAAGTCAGTAAAAAGTACAGGGGGAATAGTTTGAAAACATTTTATACAGCAACCTTTTTGGAGCTAAGCAGGTCTGAGCCCATTCAGTGTATTGATGGGAGACTTGTATTTACAGCACCTTGATTTCATTCATGGAAGAATATGGTGTAGTGGTTAGTGTTAGGCTAGGACCTGGCAGACCTGGGTTGAAATCCCCACCCACTCATGAAGCTCACTGCGTGACTGTTGGCCTGTCACAATTTCTTAGCCTAACCTACCTCACAGGGTTATTGTGAGTATAAAATGGGGCAGGGGATGCATGTCGTACCTTGAGCTCGCTGGAGGAAAAGTTAGATAGCCAACATAATCAATAAATAATAAATGTGGAAGACAAATGTATTAAATAAAAGTTCCGCTGTGTACATGACTAATACCGGCTCTGTGTCCTTTGGCATCACACAGAGCAGCCTTCACCAACCTGATGTTCTCTAGATGCTTGATTAATTTATTTGTTTTATTAAATTTATATGCTGCCCTTTCCTCCGAAGTGGCAAACCCTTTCCGTAATAAGAATACAATTTAAAATAAAATAAAACCAAATTTAAAAATTGGTAAAAACGATAAAACATCAGAAGCAAATTTAAGAGATGATGGGAGTTGTAGCTCAATAGCATCTGGAGGGCCCAAAGCTTCCCCATCTCTGCTTTAACCCTAGAAACGCAGAGCGAAGTTAGTGTGTACATGTGCGAGGATCAAAGGCTCTTGTAAGTGTGAGGTGTGACTTGTAGAACAGCACACGCTTCCCATCTGCCAACCCTCCCTGCACCCCATGTGTTAATTGGAACAGAAGGATTTACAGCAATAGACCATGTTTTGTTTTGTTTTTGTACAAAACTTACCTGTAATTTTTTTTGGACATGAAACCGCCTACAGAGGTATAATCCCGAACCACGACACCCCACCCCACCGGGGTATACATTTACGAACTCAAAGCTTCGTTGTAAATCATTGCCAGGGCACCCAGGAAAGTGACGTATTCCTGGAAGTTCACCACTTGGTCCCCATTGCGGTCCAGATCTTTCATTAATGCATATATCTCTGCATCCTGCAGTTTCGGTCCAATGGTGAGCTCCTTCTGTATCAGCTCCTTCAATTCCTTCTTGCTTAGGGCGTTCTTATCGCCATCCTTGCCGGTGTAAATGTGGAAGGTGACAACCAGCATGCCAATAGCTTGGTCAAGAGGTGCCGCCATGGTGAGAGATCAGAAGCAAGATGGCCCAGTGCTGAGTGGCAGGAAGAGAAGTGGTCCACCAATAGACTGTGTTATAATCAAAAGTACACTGTGGTGTAACATCTCACGATCTTAAACCAAGTCACACATTCCTTTGGCCGATGTTAGAGCTGGAATTGTCATTGTGTGGATGTCTTGCATATTGTGGCACTGGCAGATAAATCTAATTTAGGAATACGGTTTTATTGTGTTTACCTCGAGAAACTTGAAAGCGCACTCTGAGCTCACACAGCCTTCCCATTTTCATTAATCTGCCTATGGGAAGAGCCTTTTCGTGTGACTGCCTAATCCATGGGTCTGTTGATTCGAGGAGACTTGCTCTGACAAAACTGCTGGAAACCATTCATCCTAGCCTTCACTGTGATCCCTTCACCAGCTTCTGCAATTACACTGTCCTTCCTGTTATATGTTAATGGAGGCAGGAGGTGGCTCAGCGAACTTCCACAGGGAGAGAAGAACTCTAGCATGGTTCTTAACTTTAATAGTCTCTGCTTTGACTCTCTGTTGTTGCAGTTCATGTCCCAAGGGAAAGGTGGGAACAACTACCCATCCACGACTTCTCCAAAGCCCGGCAGCCAGTTGGATAGCATGCTCGGAAGCCTCCAGTCAGACTTGCATAAACTCGGGGTAGCAACGGTTGCCAAAGGTGTCTGTGGAGCCTGCAAGAAGCCAATTGCTGGACAGGTGAGTGTGAAGGACAACCCCCACTTGTTAAGAGTCTCAAGCTACAACTGGGAGGGCTTTAAAAAATCATATGGATGAACGGACTGGCGATGCTGAAGAAACTGAAGTACTCTATTTATCCACTGGCTAGGTACGCTGTAAGCTCCTCCAGTGACCTCTACCCTGCCCATGAGGGACTGCCCTCTTCTGAGATGATAGGTAATTCAGTTTTCATGCTACCCCAGTCCAGGGATCCACCTGTTAGTAGAATGTTCTCTCTCATTTGTTCTAGACTCTGTGCTTTTTGATGTCTTTGTCACACATATGATGCCCATACTTGAGAGGTGGAGCATCTGCTGGAGCCAGGACCGTTTTTTCCTCTCTCTTTCCCAGGTTGTCACGGCGATGGGGAAGACTTGGCACCCTGAACACTTTGTCTGCACCCACTGCCAGGAGGAGATAGGATCGCGTAACTTCTTTGAGCGTGACGGCCAGCCCTACTGCGAGAAGGACTATCACAACCTCTTCTCTCCTCGCTGCTACTACTGCAACGGTCCTATCCTGGATGTGAGTCCATGGCGTTTATGCCGTCTTATTCCTCTGGCTGTCCAGCCTTACACTTTCTACCTTACCGATCCCGTAGCTATGCACACATTTCATTTGCTTGTGCAGTGGGTGCCAGTAATCCCACCCTAGTCACTGTGGTTTAGAAAATTAAATCACAGTGGGGGATTTCGGCCCACCTGCAGCATGTAGGTCTCCTCTGCATCCAGCCCAACAACCTCTCCACAGGCCCTGCCCATACCCCCATGCTGCTGAACTGCAGTTTCTAATCAGCGGAGTAGTGGGGTTGGGGTTCATGGGGGAGGATACATTTAAACCTCTCTTCCTCATAGTCTTCCCCCAATCCTTGTGCTGGCCATCTGATCAGGGATTAATTTATCCATTGCTGAGCTGTAATCTTGTAAATTCTGATCTTTGTGTGCATATAAGATCACAAGGCGAGAAGGTTTAGAGTATTTATTTTATTACTACTTTTCTACCCCAACCTTTCCTCCAAGGAGTTTAAGGTGGCATACACAATTCTCCCCCTCCTGTCCTTAAAACAATTGTGTGAGGTAGGTTAGACCAGGGGTCCCCAAACTAAGGCCCACGGGCTGGATAAGGCCTGGGGGACTCGTTTATCCAGCCCGCGGTGGCGCCCGCTGCTGCTGCCCACTCTTACCAGCGCTGTGCTGCACAGCTGCCCACTTCCAGGTTGGAGGAGCCCCGGAAATAGCTTGCGCGCATGCGCAAGCGTTATTTCTGGTGCACATCTGGGGTGGAGGAGGCCCGTGCATGTGCAGACAAGCTATTTCCGGTGCTCCTCCGACCCGGAAGTGCACCGGAAATAGTGTGTGCACACGCGTATGGGCACGCACTCCTCCGCTCTCCGGTCCACTGCGCAATCAGCGCTGGAGACACCAGCCCGAGGTGCGGTAAGTTTGCTGACCCCTGGGTTAGACTGTGACCGAATGACTGGCCCAAGGTCACCCAGGCCTTCATGGCTGAGTGGGGATTTGAACCTAGTTCTACACTCTAACCACACCAATGTCCTAGTTCCACACTCTAACCACGCCAATGCACTGACTGGTGGAGTGAGCTGTTCATGGAGGAAGAGATTGCTTTCTTAATGGGTTGCTTGTGTGTATCATTTATCTGTTTAACTTTTATAATGCTTTATATTTCAACCAAAATTATCTGTCCGCATCTCAAGAAAAATAACATTAAAAAAAATACAATACAAATTCTGCATTCCGTAGTAAATACAGTGCTACTGTTACTGCCTCTTTCTCATTGCACAGCACAGAAATGAAGTGAACTGGGTGTGTGAATGAATGGGGAGGGTGGGTGTGCATGTGGATGTGCTTGTACCATTATACATACAGTCCCTGGCTACTTTCCCCAAGGGAGTATGGCCTTTGGGCTGCTGGGAAGGTGGAACTCTTCACCCTTGCCTGTATACATGCATGGGCTTCCCTTAAAATGGCCAGTGAGCTCCTAGCAACCTCGTGGGTTCATGTTATCAACACTGCTACATCAGTTTCCACATTTATTTACACGTGGCTACTTTTCGTATTACAGTGGTGCCCCGCAAGACGAAATTAATTCGTTCCGCAAGTTTTTTCTTCTTGCGAGTTTTTCGTCTTGCGAAGCACGGTTTCCCATAGGAATGCATTGAAAATCAATTAATGCGTTCCTAGGGAAACCGACTTCAGACCAGGTCCGGGGACAGTCTGTCCCCCGACCTCTTCTGAAGGCTGGGGGGGGGACGAAGGGCTTTTCTTCCCACCCCCAGCATTTTAAAAAACCCCGGGACAGCGGAGGAGTTCTCCGCTGTCCCGGGGCGATTTAAAAGCCCCCGGGAAGGCAGGCAGGGGGGACAAAGACTTTTGCCCCCCGCCAGCCTTCAGAAGAGGTCCTGGACCTCTTCTGAAGGCCGGCGGGGGGCAAAAGTCTTTGCTCCCCCCTGCCTGCCTTCCCGGGAGAGCGGAGAAAGGCAGCGCGTTTCTCCGCTGTCCCGGGAAGGCAGGCAGGGGGGAGCAAAAACTTTCGCCCCCCGCCCGCCTTCAGAAGAGGTCCAGGACCTCTTCTGAAGGCGGGCAGGGGGGCGAAAGTCTTTGCTCCCCCCGCCTGCCTTCAAAAGCCCTCCGGGACAGCGGAGAAACGCGCCGCCCGGGGCGATTTTAAACCCGCTGTCCCGGGTTTTTTTAAATGCTGCCGGGCGTCAGCGCTGCCGCCCGGCAGCATTTTAAAATCGCCCCGGACAGCGGAGAAGTCCCCCGCTGTCCCGGGGTTTTTAAAAAACCTCTCCGCCCCCCCGCCAGGCTTCGGAGCAGCCTTCCGAAGCCTGGCGGCGGGAGGAGGTCCGAGGACAGTGGGGAAGAGGCGCTGCGCTTCCCCGCTGTCCCGGAGATTTCCCTATGGGCTGTCGTCTTGCGAAGCAAGCCCATAGGGAAATTCGTTTTGCGAAGCGCCTCCGCGACGGAAAACCCTTTTGTCTAGCGGGTTTTCCGTCTTGCGAGGCGTTCGTCTTGCGAGGTACCACTGTACATGGAAATGCTCTAGTCAGACACAACTAGAGACTGGCAAGACACACATTGGGAAAAGCAAGTATAGGAGTTAGATGCCCCCATGTGGCAGGTTGAGTGACGCCATTCTAGTGTTAGCTTGGGTGTTAGCAATAGGATCCCCCCTCATTGTCCTCGGTTCTCGAACGTAATTCGTTCCGGAAGACCTTTCGAGTTTCGAAACATTTGAAAACCGAGGCGCAAAGGGCTGCCTGCAAATTCAATTGAGAAAATTGAAAAACATGCAGCAGAAGCCGTTCGACTTCCGAGGTGCGTTTGAAAATGAAAGCATTTACTTCCGGGTTTTCGGCGTTCGGGTTCCGAAATGTTTGTTAATGGAGGCATTCGAGGTACTACTGTATGTGAAACAGCTGGATTCTGTAAATACAGTGGTACCTTGGGTTACATATGCTTCAGGTTACAGACTCAGCTAACCCAGAAATAGTACCTCGGGTTAAGAACTTTGCTTCAGGATGAGAACAGAAATTGTGCTCCAGCAGCACGGCAGCAGTGGGAGGCCCCATTAGCAGTGGGAGGCCCCATAAAGTGGTGCTTCAGGTTAAGAACAGTTTCAGGTTAAGTACGGACCTCCAGAACAAATTAAGTATTTAACCTGAGGTACCACTGTATAATAAATTGAGATGATCCGTCAAAACGAAGTGAGAGAAGTGAGATGAAATAACCATAGAATCCCATATATGTCTCTCTCTCTCACCAGTCTCATCAGAAGGAGCATAGGTGCCTTATGCTAGGCCAAACCACTGGTTCATCTAGCTCAGCACTGCTACACTGACTGGCAGCAGCTCTCCAGAGTTTCAGGCAGGGGATACTTGCAGCCCTTCCTGACCAGGGATTGAACTTTTCACTCTTGAGTGCAAAGCTGGTGCTATGCCACTGAGCTATGGAAAAGGCCCCCTCTCCCTTATGACTGCCAATTTTACTGGCACTGAACTAGGGTTCAGAGTGGACACTGCACAGAGGATGCAGCTTAGTTAAATTGCCACATCCCTCACCTACTTGCAAGATGCAATTCTCTACGTTCCTAGTGCTGATGCTCATGCCCTTCGGTTTGTCAGTTCCGCTCTGCCACCAAGAAACCAGTCTTGGTGGAGGGAGTGGCATAGCTTGAAAGCAGGTAGGAAAATCCTGAGGAATCTCAGGATCAATCCAGGGTAAAAAGTAAAGGGTTCCCTTGCAACTTCTTTGGCTGTAATTCGGACATATTTTGCCCAAGGGTGTGCAAAATATGGAAAACTAGAATTGATTCATAACAACAGGCTTTGATTGTATCCTTGGCCATATTTGCAGATTTTAGATGCCACATTAAACACAACAAATGATGTATTGAAAAACTACAGCAGGATAAGGAGAGGGATCAATTATATTCCCAATTTTGTGCTTGAAGGGAGGAGAAGAGCTTTGTTCACCTACATCTTCACACTCCATTCTCTTTTTCTTAGTTTTATCCTCATTTATGCCTTAGTGTACTGTTTCATCCGTTTGCTTTCTACATGGGTGGGGCCCATTGAGCAGACATACCACAGCAATCAGCCAGTTAATCTCTGTATACATCCCAGGGTATCTATCTGTCTGCTGGGGAGTTCATTGACCTTCCAAAGGCAACAGGAGAGAGATCGAGATCGGAAATGCATGTTCATGAAATTCTGGGCTTAATCCAGCCAGAGATCACATTACAGTGGTACCTCGGGTTACAGACGCTTCAGGTTACAGACTCCGCAAACCCAGAAATAGTACCTTGGGTTAAGAACTTTGCTTCAGGATGAGAACAGAAATCGTGCTCCTGCGGCACGGAAGCAGCAAGAGGCCCCATTAGCTAAAGTGGTGCTTCAGGTTAAGAACAGTTTCAGGTTAAGAACAGACCTCCGGAATGAATTATGTACTTAACCCGAGGTACCACTGTATTGGGATGTTAGTAGTCCAGTTTCCCGGGGTCAGAGGATTCCTCCCTTCCTCTCCTTGAAATGCACTTCTTGTCTTATCTACTATCCGTATCCCCTCACCGTGTTTCCTTGCAATTTTTTTTAGAATAACGTTTTGGCTACTCATTCATGGTTTATGGTTTCTTTCTATCAGAAAGTGGTGACGGCGCTGGATAGGACATGGCACCCCGAGCATTTCTTCTGTGCCCAGTGCGGAGCATTCTTCGGCCCAGAAGGTATGGTCCCTGAGGGCTGATCCACAGCTTGCATGGCTTGCTTATTTTCAGATGTGTAAACTGTCTCCAAGGTATTCAGCTTGAGGTCTTGTGAGCTGACATGCAAGTTCTGCGAGTGGAATTTCAGCTCAGATTTGCCATTTCTCCCATGCAAGTCATTACTTCATGTTGAAGACACTGGCAGTAATGGGCATGCATAAATAAGCTTAGCACAGGCAATCCTCCCCCTGACATTCGGATTGCATAGACTCGTGTAGCCTTGCTCCCCAGGAAGTGGAAGTGCAGTGTAACAGCACTGTTCTCATCCCCAATAGGCTTCTTCTTTGGTAAAGCCCACCCTGTTCATGTTTACGTGGAAGCAAGCCCAACCCCATTCAGCAGGGCTTACTCCCAGGGAAATGCGCACCAGATTGCACATTTGCAGTTGCCTGATGATGAAGAGTGTTGATTCCAGCTTTGATGGTCCTCTCCATTTCTTAGAATCTTTTGGTGGTGCCTTTCTTTTATGTTTAGGCTTTTATTTTTGTTTATTATTTTTTTTCTACTTTCCCCCCTTTCAGTCCCCCCACCAACTTTTTATTACACACAAATATGTGTAATTTTTAAACTGCTGTTTCTGTTTATGACAGCAGTAATTCTGGGGTGTAAATTTGTCCATTTTTATCGAATTTTCTATGTTTTTTGAGTTCCACATTCAGATTTGGAAAAACATTTTATAAATTCCTAAAATAAAAAGGCCAGGCAGATACTAATTTTCTTCTTTCTTTTTTGCTGCTTACCCTTCTGCCCTGGCAGGTTTTCATGAGAAGGACGGCAAGGCCTACTGTCGCAAGGATTACTTTGACATGTTTGCTCCTAAGTGTGGAGGCTGTGCCCGGGCTATCTTGGAAAACTATATCTCTGCCTTGAATACCCTTTGGCACCCTGAATGTTTTGTCTGTCGGGTAAGAAAACTTCAGGAATTCATTCCCCTTCCGTTCCATTCAGCCAGCAGAGGACATCTATCATCCTGACCAGTCTTGGTGTAATTTATGGGTCACCAGTGCAGTGCTCTCAGGCACACAAGTGCCAGCGGAGGCCTTTCTTGATGACCACAGGATTCCTTCTTTCTCCTGCTGAAATTATGCTTGTAAGAAGCCTTTCATTGCAGACAATAGGAGGCTTTAAAAAAACTTAATTGCTGGTGGTAGGAGAAGATGAGCGTGCATGGTTGCATTGAGTGTGCATATGTGTGTGCATGGTTGCAGTGTTTGCATGATGCTCACAACAGTTTCTCCAGTTTGCAAATTTGCCTGGGGGGTTGGAAAGATTGGCAACCCTAGAGGGCTCTGAAGCAGGAGGATGAGTGCATCCACAAGTGCCTATCTGTAACAGCAAAAATGATACCTTATTCCATCAGTGTGACAGTACTGTACTCTGGAAAGCCTTGTGGTGTAGTGGTTAAGAGCAATAGACTCGTAATCTGGTGAACCGGGTTCGCGTCTCCGCTCCTCCACATGTAGCTGCTGGGTGACCTTGGGCTAGTCACACTTCTCTGAAGTCTCTCAGCCCCACTCACCTCACAGAGTGTTTGTGGGGGAGGAAGGGAAAGGAGAATGTTAGCCGCTTTGAGACTCCTTCGGGTAGTGATAAAGCGGGATATCAAATCCAAACTCCTCTTCTCTTCTTCTTCTTATTGATATAATGCAGCCACCATCATTGTATTCTTTTAGACAGATGCCTGATGAAAACTATTCTGTTTTGGATGACCTATTTTGTTACAACTGTTCTTAATTTTGTTATAGATGTTTTCTTATCGTTCTCTTAACGTGAGCGGTTTTCACGAGCTGAGCTCTGGAGCTGCCCTCAGCTACTAGCGCCATGTTTTTCCATCTCTGATACCTGATTGTGGTCTTGCTTCTCCTCCTCCTCCACAGGAATGTTTTACTCCATTCATTAATGGCAGCTTCTTTGAACACGACGGGCAGCCCTACTGCGAGGTGCATTACCACGAGCGCCGCGGCTCGCTGTGCTCCGGCTGCCAGAAGCCCATCACAGGCCGCTGCATCACTGCGATGGCCAAGAAATTTCACCCTGAGCACTTCGTCTGTGCCTTCTGTCTCAAGCAGCTCAACAAAGGAACCTTCAAGGAGCAGAACGACAAGCCCTATTGTCAGAACTGCTTCGTGAAACTCTTCTGCTAAGGCCAACATTCAGCATCGTTTTTGTGGCCTTTCCAGGAAACCTTGACTCTTTGGACATTGCCACAATTTGGCAACCTGTGGCCTTGGTGGGCTAATCTAGGAGAAGAGGGTGTGTGTGTGTGTGTGTGTGTGTGTGTCGGGGTGGGGTGGGATGGGATGGGGCAGGATGAGATGCTCACCACTGCTCTGGAAAAGTGGTAAATCCAGAGAACGGATCACATTGGACCATTCATTTAGAAGCTGTATTTTAGCAAGGAGATGCTAAGACTGCCATTGATGCACCAGATGGACAGCTTAGCCAAGCCGAGGCGGTTTGAGTGGGAGGCTCTGTTTGGTTGTGGTGGTTGTTGATCAGTTGGTTGCATTGGTAGCAAAGGTTCAGGCAGTCAAATAAAAATGGTTTGGGTTTCAGCTTGGGGGCAGTGGAATTTAATTCTCTTCCCCAAGAATGCTAAAATAGTCAGGAGGGCTGAGAACCCCAGTATGGATTCTACTTAGAAATGGGGAATGGGAAGGGCTGTAGCTCAGTGGTAGAGCAGCTGCTTTGCATGCAGAAGGCCCCAGGTTCAGTCCCTGGCATCTCCGGGTAGAGCTGGGAGAGACTCACTGTCCGAAACCATAGAGAGCTGCTGCCAATCAGTGTGGACAGTACTGAGCTTGATAGACCAATGGTCTGACTCAGTATAAGGCAGGTTCCCGTTTTCCTAAGAACACTGTGAAGGGTCAAAAGAGAGCAGAGAGCGCATCTTGCAGTTCCACATGGCAAGGGCCACATTGGCAGATACTGATCTGTGCAAGACTCTTGGGACTGGGTGAGCAACTTCCTTCCTGTCTGCATCCTCTTCCAGGGAGATGAGGTTCAAATGATACTGGAAGAATGCCCAACACCCCATTCTATCACCACCTGCATGTACAGAGTGGATCGCTGACTCTTGTTTGTACTTCTACCCTTTTCAAATAGGACATCTCCCCATTTGGGGATGTTAATTTCGCCACCATTGCTGCCATCCACTCCTGAGAAATCATGAGAGTGAAGTGTGCTCAGTGGGGCAGAAGTGGTATTTGTTTTATATGACAATCCAGAGAAGCCAGGCGTCCCAGCCTTTCCAGGTTTTAGGCAGGGATGTAGCCTGTGTTGTGATTTTCTCCCAAAAGGCTAGAGAAGCTTCATTTAACAGCATTGACTTCTTTTGCCTGTCTCTCTCTCTTGCAATCACAAGCACATCTCTCACTCATGTGAAATATGCCCTAGAGAAACACAGTTCTGAGCAATAATTCTTTTTCTATTGACATAGTAAGTTTCTCAGTGTGTGTGTGGGTGTTCTTTCTCTCTTCTTGCCTCTCGTGGTTTTTATGTCTGTGTGTGAGAGAGAGCGCGTGAATGACTTTTGCTATCAAACTGAATACTGTGTGTTTGGGGGGAGATGCTGATTTCTACATTGAGTCTTGAATTCATAACAAAATGACTTTTAAATCTCTTGTATTGAAAATTTTAGTTTTTTGAAATGATTTTCAACAGATGACTTTCATACCTGACAATGTCTGGGCAGGGCCCTGGTTGTGCTGGTTCCTGCACCCGCAAGCCTTTGGTGCTTTGTTAAACACAACTATTAACATGAGAAGTATTGTCTTTTTAAAACTGGGGTGGGAGAAGGGGAATGTGCAAGGAGCGTGTATGTGTGGTTTTATTTCATTTTTGCTTATTAAGTAGCTTTTCTATTGATCAGAGCTCAACTGGAACAGATTTCTTTTTTAAAAAATAACTTGTAAACTGCTGTATTTGGAATTGTTTGCCTTTCTCTCAAAATCAGAGCTGCAGATTTTTTTGAAGCGAGTCTTAAGCTACTCCAGCAGGGAGAAAGAGCTCAAATCTTACACATTTGGTGTCAAGCTTCATAATCTGTTTCAGAAGCTGACGCTGAGCCTGTGGTCTTAGCCCTCCCATACATAGTGTTAACATAGTTGACCAGCCTTTTTTTTTTTTTTTGCCCAAGTGTGCCATTACTCAACTTTGCAGTGTGAGACTGCTGTGCTAGTGTATCCACAGTGTGTATGTGCACACACTGCTGTACCTATGTGTCCTCTGGTGCCTTTACCTCTTGTCTACTGAGCCAGGGAGCAGGCAGCAGTATGGCATGGGAGGTGTTGGCAGAAAGACACTTTTGTCTCTGCCGATCTTCTGGGCCTTGTGTAACTCCACGTGCGATGCTTTGCAAGCCCTGACAATCTGCTGGTGCCATCATTTTTCAAAGTGCTGCCAACTGTGCTTTGCACTGCAAACCCCCTTTGGCCCCAGTGCGCCTTCACCTGCCCTGTGGATGTGGTTTGGTGGGATGAATGAGGGAGGCCTGGCGGGCTGGAGGCTCTGTAGCCAGGCCTGTGGATCCTCATACTCCAGCCCAAGAGTGCCATCAATTCCTATTGCCTCTTTCATGTGGTCCCCTCCACTGCTGCAAGCTGGCCATTTGTACACTGGCACCAGCAGGCTGTCCTGAAAGCTCATGTCTGGATCGCTCAACTTCTATGCACATGTGCTTTCTTCCCCACCACATAACCATACCAAGCACCCAGGCAAGCCAAAGTAATATTGAGCTTTTCTTGAACTACTAGGGGCAGGCAGGGAAGAGCCATGATTTTGTATAGCTGTTTCCATAACTTTTCTGCACCTGCTTGCCTCTGTAAACTGGGAATTTCACATGGGGTGGAGAACAGGATCTCAGGCAGAGGACAGTGAAGGGTGGGGATGGACTGAGCTGGGTGTGATGGGCCACCAGCTCCACATCCCATAAGCTAGCCTGCTGCCCTCAACTGCAGCAGAAGATGCTCCCGCTCACCAGCTTTGAAGTCTGATTCAGCTGCCACTCTGGTCGGCTTATTTTTTTACTTGGAATGGGATGCGGCACTATTTTGTCCTTTGCGACCGGAGCTGGCCTTGGTTGGGGAATGATGAAAAACAACATTGGACAAAAAGTCTGTCAGCTGGCGAAGTGATTCTGAGAGCGGCCGAGTGGGTCTTTCAGTTTTGTGGGAGAGGAAAGCCTGCATTGTTTTGCTGGTACCAGGCTGCTCAGGTTATAAAGGATTGTGTGAAGTTGGGCCTTTTGGAAGTCTGGGATGTTGTTGTTTTTTATGGATCTGGGCATGAGGAGGTATTGCAATCTGATGGAATGGCCTGGGTGCTGCCTCTGATGGGTGTCAGATGAAGATACACCATTGTTTTTCTGAAAATACCCACTCTGCTACCATAGCTTTGTGACATTTTAGGCCTGGGGCGCGGTTTCTTTCTTTCTTTCTTTTGTTTAACTTTTAAAAATGCATCAGAATGAAGTGGGTCTCTATTAAAGCTTCAACAGATCTTCTGGGAAGGAGGAGGAGGAGAGATTCTCCTGTGGAATGACATTTCTCTCCCCTCTTCCTGTTTCCCCCTTTTGTAAACTTCTAACTCTGCTGGTTTTTTACCCCACTTTTAAAATTCCTGTGATGATGCTAATAAATTTTATGATAATTTTCAGTGTCATTGGTTGTGGCCTTTCTTAAATAAACAGTAAAAAAGCAAACCCTACTTTCATAATAAAACAGCAAATATAACAGCATACAAACCCCCACAACATTTCAGTACTGTAAATATAACATTAATTATGTTGCACCTCCTGGCAATGGGCTTGACGGTTTCACTTTGGACCTAGAAACACCCTTCTCATGATGTTGCTTTCAATCCCTCTCCTGAAGCTGCCTACAAGGCTTCGAAAGGCAGGGGGCTGGGTCAGCTGGAAACACCTCTCCCATGATATTGTTGCACCATAAAATACTGTACCATTTTATTTCTGCATTGGGGGGAAGGGGAAAGCCAGCCAACAACTTATGCAGGGGCTACGTTCCAGGGATCACACCTAAAGCCAAAATTGGGTTCAATGGAGGATAGGATTGCCAAAGTCTTATTTCTTGTACTTCCACCCCCTTTCCATTTTTAAGCACTTTTTTTTGCCAAGCCTGTAAATGGGCACAAGTTGTATAAGTTGTGGGCTTACTGAATTCAACCTTCTGATCTCAAATCTTTCCTTTGGGCTCACTTACTGGCCTTGGGGAATTCAATATTCAATCCTACATATACAAGCAATATTGTAGGGAAGGGTCTTCACTGTGCAACAGAGTAGCCTAGATCAGAGGTTTTCAACCTTTTGGGGTCCATGGCTCCCTTGACCAAACTATATTCTTTCTGTGGTACCCCTGTGGGACTTGGGAGCCCAGTTATGTCACCCCTTGCCTGCAGAGCTGGCAGTCCCTCATCCTTTTTCGAACACCTTCCCCTTGTGGAGTGTTCCCTCATCCTCCTCTCCTCTCCACTCTCCTTGGAAGTTCTCTGGGCAGCCACAGTTGCTGCCCCTGGTCTCTAAGCTGTCCCCCACAGCAAAGAGAGGTGCTGCTTCCTCACACTGCCGCACAAAGGCCTGGGAAGCCCTCCCACGCCAGCCCCAGATGCACCATTCGCCTGGGAAGTTTGTAGCCAGGACTGCTGCAACAAACAGCCATGCTCTGTTGTAAACAAAAAATCTGCCCTTTTTCCCTTATGGGGTATCCAAGAGCCCATATAGATTCCTTACGTAGGTTCCCTATTGGTAGGAGAAAATAACAGAGGCCAACCAGAGAATATTGAGAAGCAAAGCAGCTAGTAAGCCTGATCTTTATTGATCTGTTACAACAGGGTCCTCACCACACACATGAGGGAGGAGGAACCCAGAACAATGGCGCACAAGGCCTTATATAGACATTTTGAAATTGCCACCCTGTAGATCAAGACCACTACCCCAGATACATCATAACTACATCACAGAAAAGGTGGTCTAAAACAGAAAATTGATTGTAGTTTATCTCCTGTCTGGCAGGTTACTTGATTGGGTACCCTGCTTACTTGATTGGTTACCCTGGGGAGCCTGGCCAGTCTTTTGTAATGATAAATACTTTGTAATGATAAATATTTAGTTCCTGAGTCAGGTCAGAGGCTCACCCTATTCAAACCTTAAGACAGGATTTGTGAAGGAAAAGTCAATGGGGAGGCTTTTCCATTTTCCTTTGACCTTGCAGAGAAAACATTTGGTCAGTTTGGGAATCAAAAATGGTTCCAGGTCGGTCTTCCTGTGCTGATCTATGTACATGCTTGGTTGGTACACTTATGAACATTTAACATATATCTAAGACCTCAAAATAGGGACGCGGGTGGCGCGGTGGGTTAAACCACAGAGCCTAGGACTTGCTGATCAGAAGGTCAGCGATTTGAATCCCCGCAACGGGGTGAGCTCCCGTTGCTCGGTCCCTGCTCCTGCCAACCTAGCAGTTCGAAAGCACCTCGAAGTGCAAGTAGATAAATAGGTACTGCTCCGGCGGGCATTTTCGTGCGCTGCTCTAGTTTGCCAGAAGCGGCTTAGTCATGCTGGCCACATGACCCGGAAGCTGTATGCCGGCTCCCTCTGCCAATAAACCGAGATGAGCGCCGCAACCCCAGAGTCAGCCATGACTGGATCTAATGGTCAGGGGTCCCTTTACCTTTAAGATCTCAAAATTTCTATCACACAGCCATGCAAGCCTTTGAGAGGCAGAGATTGAAGAGGGCATCAGAGGAAGGGAGGGAAAGAAAGCAGGACAGAGGCCAGTGTTGCCCGGAGCACCCCTGACTATTAAAGGCACCCTGGCTGAAAACCACTGGCCTATATCTTTCTCTCTACATCTATGTGCGTTTCTGCCCCAGCAGGGGGAGCATGCCTCTCTCAGCCTGCACAGCTACGAAAGCTTCCTCTCCCTTTAAAAGGCGGGAGAGGAAGTTTCTGGGTATTTGGAAGGATGGCTCTTTACGCCAATGAGAGCTGATCACAGCTCTTCTCTCCCCCCCTCCCCACGCTCTCCCGCCGCTTCCTTTCGTCATCGACAGATCTGTCCAATCCGTAGCGAGAGGAAGGGGGAGGAGGAAGCTGTCGCTCTCCGCCGATTGGCCGCGGCGCTCGGGGAGGCTATAAAAGCGTGGGGCGGGGGCGGGGCCAGTTCTTTTGCTCCACGGAGGCCTCGTGAGGTAGGTGTGCTGCTGGCGGCGGGCCGGGGAGGCCTTTGGGGCCTAGGTGGGGCCGGGCCTAACCGGAGCCTCTTTTGTCTGTCCTCTGTAGAGAAACACCGGAGTCTTTAAACCGCTGCCGTGCGATCCTTGGGTCACCGCGATGCCCAGGGAAGACCGAGCCACGTGGAAGTCAAACTACTTCCTCAAGATCATCGTGAGTCCTTCTGGTGGCTTGGGCGAGGGGGAGCAGGGCTGATGTTATTATTTCTCCCGTTGGAAACCTTTTCTCCGTGGCACAAACGAAAAACAAGACAAAAAAGTGTTGCCGGCGAGGGTTTATCTGAGCATGTACAAAGTACCATTAGTTCCTAGCATCCATTAGGTGCCTCATAAAATAAATCCTTTGGGCGCCGTGTAGAATAATAAAATAAGATTTAAGATCACTGGCTCGCTATTATTATTAATCACTTCATGGATTCACTTATTATTAAAACAGCGACAACCCTTAAAGCAGTTAGTGATAAGATATCATCATCAATAGGTCTAACGTAAATCTTACTTCAGCATGAAACCCACAAGCAGGATTTGAGCACAACAGCCCTTTTCCCTTGTGTGGTTTACAGGAACTGGTATTCAGAGGCATTGCTCCCTCAGACCTTGGAGGCAGAGCACAAACACCTTACATTACACCTTGCAGGAATCACGTAATTAATTCCAAGAGAGATGCCTATGATTATAAGTACGTTGTATGATTTGCCCTGAAAGCTATTAGGCACAGCAATTAAGTTGGGAAAGTAATAAGCAATAGGAGATGCATTGAAGGCTTCTTTCACCAGGCAGAGAGCGCTTTTTAAAAAGTAATTTTTGTAATCACAAAGCAGTACAGTCTATTTTGGTGAAAGTAATCCTCTTTGTATATTCTGCAAAAAACTTTAGTTTCAAAAGCAGCAGCAGGAATAACAATAAGACAATTAAAAAATACTTCTGTATGTACAGGATGCTTTTCTATTTAAGTTGCATGTATAAGACCAAACCTGCTGGGTAAGACCAAAGGCCCATCTGTCCAAAATACTGTTTTCATAGTGGTCAGCCAGATGCTAATGGGAAGCCTACATGCAGGACACAAGCACAACTCTGCCCACTTGTTATTCTGAATGATATTGTCTCCATGATTAGTAGCCGCTGATAGCCTTATTCTCCATGAATCTGTTTATTCCCAATTAAAACAGCCAAAGTTGGTGGCCATCACTGAATCATTTAGCAAATTGTATGGGCTCACCACACCATACAGCTCTGTCCCTATGTTGCAGCATCGGCTCAAGTCTGGAATGTTGGAGTCTTAAGAATAAGGATCTCAGTGCATACAGAATAATGTGGGATTGTAGCCAGACCCTTTCAGTGATGCATGATTGGAGCAGGGCTGTCAGATTGCAGTATCCGAGATCATAATATGAGAAGCAGGAATCTGATGGTCCCTCTGAGCGTGTACAGTAAAGGGTGACCACAGTTGGCCCATAGATCATAATCAGCATAAATTTGTCTACAGCAGGCATGTCCAAACAGTAGATCGTGATCTACTGGTAGATCACCGGCTGATCCTGGTAGATCGTGGGACCCTTATCGATCGTAGGATTAAATGAAGTTTACCAAAAGTTAACAAATAAAAACTGAAGAACTCCGGGCAATTCTACCCCTGAAAAAAGCTCAACAACTCTGGGCAATCCACCTGCCCCACGCACACTCCTCCCTCCAATGACAATGGGTAGATCACTGCCAGTTTTTTTATACTGGGAGTAGATCACAGTCTCTTGGGATTTGGACGTGCCCGGTCTACAGGAATGGTGTAATAATGGGCAAGATAATGTATATGAAACACTGAACGCACAAAAATGCTAAGTATTGTTACTGTTACTAATTAGGCTATATGCAGAATTTTGTAAGTGTTCAAAGTGATTTCTATGTGTTAACTTGATTGTGTGCCACAGAGAAAGCCAGCACTTTCTGTTTGGAGTTAATTTTTTAATTTAAATGTTGCCCCTGTTTAATATCTGCATCTTACTGCAAGCAGACAGTGTGCCAGCCCTAAGTTTGAAAAGGTTTTCTCAGGGTTTGCTTTCTTTCCACAGCAACTCTTGGACGACTATCCAAAATGCTTCATTGTGGGAGCAGACAATGTCGGTTCCAAGCAGATGCAGCAAATCCGCATGTCCTTGCGTGGGAAGGCCGTGGTCCTGATGGGGAAGAACACCATGATGCGCAAGGCAATCCGGGGACATCTGGAAAACAACCCTGCTCTGGAAAAGTTAGTGATGCAGCATTTCCTAGGCTCATTTGCATTGGCAGTAAAAAACAAACACATTTTAAAAATAAGATTGAGCCAGTAAGTCCTTTGTTCAAAGTGTGCTTGAGCTGCAAATTCACTAGATGACCCTCTATCAGTCTCAGAGCATGTATGTAAAACATTTGTTAATTCTACAGCTGGATGTTATTGTTACCTACCTATAATTTTTGTTTGTTTATTGTTAGAAATTGGATGTTGCTAATAGAACATGCCTTGTTTCTCATTAGGCTTCTGCCTCATATCCGTGGTAATGTGGGCTTCGTGTTCACCAAGGAGGATCTGACTGAAATCAGGGACATGTTGTTGGCCAACAAGGTAAGTGGTAACCACTTAGGAGGAAGAGAGTGGCTCTTTTCACCCAAATTGCCCCAACCGGTGGTCTCCAGATGTTGTAGAGTACATCTGATATAACAACAACAATTTATTATTTATACCCCGGCCATCTGGCTGGGTTTCCCCAGCCATGCTGGGCGGCTGCCAACAAAATATTAATACATTAAAACATCCGTCATTAAAAACTTCCCTAAACAGGGCTGCCTTCAGATGTCTTCTAAAGGTCAGATAGTTGTTTATTTCCTTGACATCTGATGGGAGGGCGTTCTACAGGGTGGGCGCCACCACTGAGAAGACCCTCCGCCTGGTTCCCTGTAACCTCACTTCTCACAGTGATGGAAGCACCAGAAGGCTGTTGGAGCTGGACCTCAGTGATAAGGAAATAATAAGAGCTTGCTGGATTAGGCCCATATAGTCCAGTGTCCTGTACAGTTGCCAACCAGATGCTCAAGTGGGACTTGAGTGCAAGGATACTCCCCTCCTGTGGTTTCCAGCAACTGGAATTCAGAAGCTTACTGCCTCCAGTAGTGGAAGAACAGCAGCCACTCTGGCATATAGCCATTAATAGCCTTATCCATTAATTTATTAAATTGTGTTTAAAAGCCTCCCACGTTGGGGACCATCACTGCTTCCTGTGGGAGCGAAATTCCATAGTTAATTGCACCTCTTTGAATAAGTACTTTATTCGTTCCTGAATCCTCCCAACATTCAGTGCCAAGGATGACTTGGGTTTTTTTTCCTCCCTTAGGTACCAGCTGCTGCTCGTGCAGGTGCTATTGCCCCCTGTGAGGTCACTGTGCCAGCTCAAAACACCGGCCTTGGCCCTGAGAAGACCTCCTTTTTCCAGGCTTTGGGCATCACCACCAAGATCTCCAGAGGCACCATTGAAATTCTGGTGAGTTCTTAGTGGCTGTCTATGGTGATTGTGCTTACACTTCTATTACTTTAAAAAAAAAATAGCTACCCTAGGTTGTCATGAGAAGAAGGGCAAGTTGTAAGGGGTGGCAGGACAAGGAGCACTAATAGTAATGTATACTCCCAAGGCTGGAAGGATAAACACCCATTTGGTGGTCTGAAGATCTCACTGACCTTTCTATGTTTGAACATGTATCTTAACCATTGTCAATCTTGTTTGGCTTGTAGGGCAGCTTATATTAATAAATTGTCTTGAGTGTGTATAGGGGGTTATTGTTTTGTTTGCAATTATGTGATATATTTTTGTGTTTCTATATTGTAAACCACCCTGTGTTCCTTGAATGAAGGGCAATATGTAAGTGTAAAATAATAAGTCAGGAATGATTTATTGTTTTTATTGGTAACATGAGCTGATTGTTTCTTTCCTTTTGTTAATTTTTCAAAATATAAGTGGTGTGTGTGAATGATACTCAACTTTCTGCAAAAGGACTTGAAATGACTCACTGTTTGAAATGAATGAAGCAGAGGGACCAAGAGGGACTTGGCCTTAGCCAGACTGGCAGGAGAGCGTGTTGTTTTCTCCTTTCAGCACTTTTGACTCAACTGGACTAAACATACATCACCTTGCTGAGATGGTGTACAATTCTTGTTCTTGTAAAGAGGTTGCTGTTGAATTTGCTGGTTTTTCTCCCCCTCTTTCTCAGAGTGATGTGCAGTTGATCAAGACCGGAGACAAAGTGGGTGCCAGCGAAGCCACCTTGCTGAACATGTTGAACATCTCCCCCTTCTCCTTTGGGCTCGTCATCCAGCAGGTGTTTGATAATGGCAGCATTTACAGCCCTGAAGTCCTGGACATCACTGAAGAGACCCTGCATGGGCGCTTCTTGGAAGTAAGTGATGCCTCTTTTGATTTGCATGGACAAGTGGTCTGCCTTGCTTGGTGTGGTCTGATTCAGTGGCAGGCAGCTTTGTTTTGCCTGAAGTGGGCCATCCCATTTCCACTTATCCTAGGAGTAAGCCCCACTGAATTTGATAGGACTTACGCGGGTGGCGCTGTGGGTAAAATCTCAGCGCCTAGGGCTTGACGATCGCATGGTCGGCGGTTCGAACTCCCGTCTTTCAGTCTCAGCTCCTGCCCACCTAGCAGTTCGAAAGCACCCTTAAGTGCAAGTAGATAAATAGGTACCGCTTTATAGCAGGAAGGTAAACGGCGTTTCCGTGTGCTGTGCTGGTGCCGGCTCGCCAGAGCAGCTGTCACGCTGGCCACGTGACCCAGAAGTGTCTTCGGACACGACTGGCCCGTACGGGCAGGGGTAACTTTACCTTTACTTCTCAAAAGGCATGTATAGGATTGTGCTGTGAGTGTTCCAGAAACAGCTCTGAAAATTGCTTCCTTTGTACGGATGTGTACCTAATTTGAAGTCACTAGACTACAGTTGGGAAGTAAAAATGCCAGAAGTTGTTCATTTTGCATTGTGAATTTGGGAGAGTACAGGGAGCGCCTAAAACATTTTGGAATTGCCTTGGGATGAACAGGAGTAAAGACGTGCACTTTTTCTCCTACCAGGGTGTTCGCAATGTTGCCAGTGTTTGCCTGCAAATTGGCTACCCGACAGTTGCCTCTGTGCCCCACTCCATCATCAATGGGTACAAACGAGTCCTGGCTGTGGCTGTAGAGACTGATTACTCTTTCCCATTAGCTGACAAGGTAAGGATGATGATATGTTGAACTGGATGATGAGTGCATAATGTTGAATTGGCAAGAGTGGTTCCAGTGGCTACAGCTTTCCTTTTTTGTATGTATGCATATATTATTTCAATTTCACATATAAACATAATGGAGAGCAAGCTAACTAGCGTGCATCAAGGTGCAACTTTGAAACATTATCTAACACCCAAGCACATCAGGTGCTCTGCTACAATTATATTGTTTGTTTTGAAATTATTAGGTATAGTAATAAGTCTGCGAACCCTGAAGAACTTGAATTCTCTCTTGTCAGTGTAACATCAGACAGCTTAAGACTCTGAAATTCACATGTGTGGAAGTTGTATTATTACCCTCCCTCCAAAAAGAAAAAATCACATTTTTCACGCAAAATCTTATGTGTGAACTGCAACTTAATCTGGTTTCTTGTGCTTGTACTGTAGTCTTTGAGGCAGGTTTTGCAGAAAGTTTGAAAAAGCCCACGGAAAAATTCTACCACAAGTTAATCAATCATTCTTTGGTTCCTCCAAACCTCCCCCCCCCAGCTGTTTTAAGTGCCAAAATCCCATTAGCCCCAGCAAGCGTGGCTTAGGGATGATAGCAGTTGTAGTTCAGACACACCTGGAGGGTCAATAGTTCCCCACACCTTCAAATGTGATCCAACATAAATAGGAAGATTGTTTAGAGGTGAGCATAAGTCTATTTTTGAATCGGGGTGGGGAACCCTTTTCACCTGTAGGGCTATATTTGCTTCTGATGGTGGTGCACATACCAGTGGTGGGAAGGGCAAGAGACAAAAGTGGGTAGAGCAACAAATGCAGATTTTACCTTCCTTTGCAGTACATTAGTTTCTACACACACTTGTGCACCCCTCTCCATCCAGGCAAACATGATCCGAGTTCAAGTGACACATTCCTGCCAGCAGAAACCATTCATGGCACAAAGTGCCAGTGGGGGATGTATGAAGCTGACCTTGCTTTTTTTTAATTTCTCCACAGGTAAAGGCCTTCCTGGCTGACCCTTCTGCTTTTGTGACTGCTGCCCCTGTGGCAGCTGAGGTTGCAGCTCCCGCTGCAGCAGCCCCAGCCAAGGTGGAGGCCAAGGAAGAGTCTGAAGAGTCTGACGAGGACATGGGATTCGGTCTCTTTGACTAACTTTCAGAGTTTTGTTGCCAATCAGTCGGAGCAGAATGAAACAATAAAATAAAAGTACTTCTCTACACACCCATGTCGCATTATCATTCTTGGTTAGTCCTCTGCTAGGGGGAACTATCAACTTCTCTCCTTCAGTGGTTATGGCCCTCCACCTGTTATAAATGCAGGGCTATGCAACTGAATGCATGCCTGGTCCACAGTCAGTGACCTCCCCCTTCCACAATTTAGGGGACCACTTCCTTCCACAATTCTAGCCCTCCCTGATCTGAAGCAACAAGGCTTTCAGAAATTTTTTTCCAGCTCAGGAAACTTGGAATGATCTGCAGTTTTGCAGATCAAAGAGTAGTTTTGCCCTGGGCCTCTTACTCCCTTGAGCAGAAAACTAAGGGAGGAATATGTAAATCTGAGATAAGGAACCTTTGGACTAGTAGATGTTGCTGGAATGGCGTGAAGCCCCAGCATTGCTCGTTCTTTGCCCCACGTAGGTGAACTAAAACCGCATTGTTAACTCAAAAAAGATAGGACATAATAAGTAATGGCCAACTCCTGGGTAATATCCTATATCGTTTGTATATACGTACATAAGTATTTTCAACCTGTTTTTCTGGACTAGTCCAGCCTATCTTAGGTGTGAGGATAAAATGAGGGAAAGAGAAATATATACTACCTTCAGCTTCATTCAGGGAAAAGGTTGGGGTATATTGTGAGTGAGTGAGTGAAGAATATGGCAACCACTGTGGGGAATTGGATGTTTGCTCTGAATCAGCAGGGTGGCTATCACACCCCCTACCTACCTAGCAGGGATAGGCTTGTGGGAAGTTAGGGATCCTCCCTAGTAATTATGGGAGATTTAGCTGTTACAGTCTGTTGAAACATAAGCAGTCTTGTGCTGCCAATTTGTGAAAGCCTTTGTAGATGGTAACCCTAGTTTTTTCTCCATCCTTCCTGAACTTGCCTTTTTTCCTGCTTCCCATTCCCTTTTTGTGCTGTCTCAGGCCCTGCCCTCCAGTGTCAAATCATCTTCCTCATGCTTGGGGGGTGTCCCCTATTACTAATAAACAGTCGTCCACAGAAGCTTATACCATAGTGAATTTTTTATCTTTAATGAGTTGACAAGACTGGGAATTAATAAATTAATTTAGGTAATTTATTTGGAGTGTTGGCTGCTTGTAGGCCGCAGCCTCACTTTAGCTTAGCCACCACAGAAGGCGTGGTAAAAGGAGGAGGAGCCTTAATTAGCTCACGTCAGCCTGCCTCGCTCCTCCCCTCCGTCTTTTAACAGCTCAGCAGGGAACTTCGTGACGCCATCAGGCTGCGCCCAACGCTCCCCGGAAGTGACGGAGAATTATTTCCGGGTTGGAGCCGGCGCTATGGCGGCTGACACGCAGGTGGGTGCTGCTTGAAGCGAGGCGAGGGGCGGTGCGAGGAGGCGAGAGGAATGGAAGCGAGCCATGGGGAGGCGAGGGCGGAAGGCAGCGGCTCTTCCCTCTCTGGCCGCGAGGCCGCGTCCTCCCTCCCTCCGCCCAGCTGCGGAGCCCCTCGGGCAGGGCTGGGGGAGGGGGAGGTCAGTAGTTGGAGCCCGTCCAGCTTGTCTGTTGGCTGTCAGAGGGGGAGAAACAGGTTCCAAGGAAGATAGGAAGCGGCCTTATACCACGCCAGACGCCACCGAGCAAGAGCCCTTCTGCTAAAAATAAAGCAAGATTCCAGTCCTCAGGGTTCTGGAGAAAGTCCTCGTTTTAATAGGAGCTTGCTTCATGTTTAACCAGACTGTTGGTCCGTCTAGCTCAGTGTTGTTAACTCAGCAGCGCTCCAGGTTTTCAGACAGTGACTCTTCTAAGCCTTGCCAGGAATTGAACCTGGTACCCTTTGCATGCAAACTAGGTTCTCTGTTGTTGAGCAAGGACCGCTCCCCAGGAACATACGAAGCTGCCTAATGGCTCTTCCAAACTTCCTTTTGTGCTTTGCGCCTGGGCACAGATCTGGGATTTCCAGGTCCATTTTGGAGCAGGTTTTCCCCCTCCCCCCCCCGTTTCCCTGGGGAAGCCTGCGTTTTACCACTGAATTGGAACAAATAGCAATTGGGTTTCCCCGCACATTGTTGTTTGCTCTGATGCAGTGATAAAACTGGGTTTTCCTGGTGAAAGTGGCATGGCATTGAAACAAACCAAAAATGCACCACTGCTTAGACATGGACCTGGAAATCCCAGACCTGTGCCCTGAAAACACGGAATAAAAAGGAGTGTGGTTGAACCCTCAGACCATTGGTCCATATAGCTCAATATTGTCCTTGCAGAATGGGTTTCAGAAAGAAGACATTCCTAGACGTACTTAGGGATGCCAGGGATTTTACCGCCCCTGCATTTCTTACCTGCCCTTCACCATAAAATCCCAGGGTTACAGTTATTTTAAAATGTAGTGTTGAAAATAATTTAAAACAAATTGAGCTTGGGAGCTTCTGCATGCAAAAAAAAGAAAGAAAGAAAGAAAGAAAGAAAAGAAAAGAAAGAAAAAAGAATGCTGTGTAACAGCCACGGTTTCTAGTTCTCATGGTTCTGAATTAAAAACTGGTTTTAAATAGAAGCATAGGAAGCTGCCTTACAGTGAATCAAATCATTGGTCCATCTAGCACAGCGTTGTCTGTCTGCAATGACTGGCAGTAGCTCTCCTGGGTTTAAGACAGGGAGTCTTTCCATGCCCTACCTGGAAATTCTGGAAATTTAACCTGGAGCCCTCTGCATATAAAGTATATGCGTCACCACTGAGCCACATCCTTTACCACTAGTTCACTATTTTCATGCTAGGAGCAGTTCTCCAGTTGTCAGTCTCTTATTTGACAGTGGGCATAGCTAAGTGGTACAGCACTTGCTTTCCATGCAGAAGATACCAAGTTCAGTCCTCTCTGTTAGCCTAGGAAAAACTCCCATTGGAGGTTCTGAATAGCCTCTTCAGGTTAGCCAACATGTTGCCCTTGAGGTGGTGTTGTAGTACTCCAACTCCCATAATTCCTGAGCATTGGTCATGCTGGCTGGGGCTGATGAGAGTTGGAGTCCAACAGCATCTGGAGGGCACCATGTTGACTGCTGCCAACACCACAGTTAGATGAATCAAAGATCTTACTCTGTTTGGGCCAGCTTCCTATGTGGTGACAATGTGACAAACCTGTTGGGTACCTTTGTGTTTTCTGCTAAGCCTAGTTCCTCTTGGAGCAAATGAAATTTGAGAAAACGTAAAAACTTTTCTAATATAACCACTGCAATACACTGCATTGCGACTTTCCTGCTGGGTTGCTAGGGAAACCAGACCTACAGGTAGAGCTACAGGAGAATAGAAGCAGATGGAACTGGAAACATTTAGTGGACAGACTCTGCCACAAATAGGCTGGATTTGAATACCTCCTCTGTACCGAATAGATGGCTTTGAGCAAACTGCTAGGAGTCAGCCTGGTCAAGCTCATGAGTTGTTAAGGATAAAATGGGATAAGACACAGGAAAGAGCTTTATACCATGACAGGCTATTGGTCTACTCAGCTCGGTATTGTCTTCACTAGCTGGCAGTGGCTCTCCAGGATTTCAGACAGAAGTCCTTCCCAGCACTGCCTGGAAATGCCTGTGATTAAACCTGGGACATTCTGCATGCAAAACAGATGCTTTGCCACTGATTTTCTGGCCCTTCCTTCAACACACACGAGCATAGGAAGATGCCTTATATTGAGTCAGACTACTGCTCTATCTAGCTCAGTATAATGTCTATGCTGTGAGTTTCATATAGCAGTCTTTTCCATCTTTGTCTGGAGATGCCAGATATTGAACCTGTGACCTTCTGCATACAATGCACATACTCTGCTTTCTGACCTACAGCCACCCCCTCATCCATCTCTGCCTTGGCTTGTTTTCCTGACCAAGGGTGTTATGTCAGGGGGAGTAGCTATCCAAGGGTCTTGTTCATTTATTTTATTAAATTCTACTCTCTTTTTCTTGATTGGCTCCCACTAGTTGTTGGCTCACTAGGAGGCAGACCCAGGACCTGTCTGTCATACCTTTCTCAAAATTTGATACTTTGTTAAGACCTTTCCCTTGATTTTCTTTTGAGTCTTTCTCCCTTGTTTTCTTTGCCTGCTCTGTGTGTGTGTGTGTGTGTGTGTGTGTGTATACACACACTACAAAGAAATAATGAGTAGTAAGGAATTCAGTCAAAAACAGTTTCAGGTGAAACTGGCAACTTAATCTGATACATGTTAAGGTTGCAAGCTGATGCACACCTACCTGAGAGTAAGTCCCAATGAACATTTCTCAAGAAGAAAAACACATAGGATCAGAGTCTTAGTTCAACCAAGGAGCTCTAATGTAGATGTACATTGGACATCTGGAGAGGACTAAACTGGAAACTCTTCTCTCCTTCCACCCCAATTGGCCGTTTAGGTTTCCGAAGCACTGAAGAGATTTGCAGTGAAAGTGACCACATCCAGTGTGAAGGAACGAAGAGACATCCTCAATGAACTTGCAAGATGCATCACTGGGAAAGGTATTCACATTGCACCACAGAAAGGCTCAGTCACTAGAAATCTCTGGGTGAAATCTGGCCCCTTCATTGCAAACTCAGAAGCAAAAAAAAAGCTTGTTGTTTCATATCCATCTCTTTCTACAGAATATGAAACAAAGTCCTGCAATCTGAAGATTCCCAGGGCAGCACATAATTTATAAAATGCACACATCAATACAAGATCATTAATCCCTCTACCTTGTTTCAGATCTTCCAGAAGGTGCCGTGAAGGGCCTCTGCAAGCTGTTCTGCCTCACCCTGCATCGATACAGGTAAGAGTGTGAGCTTGGAGTGTCAGAAGATATTCAGAAAAGACTAACCAAAATAAGGGCTTGTAACAGCTGCTCTCTGAGGAAAAGTTAACACTGTTTGGGGACATGAGGGAGGTGTTCTCCCTCCCTCCCTCCCTCCCTCCCTCCCTCCCTCTGTGATAGCTGTTTATTGGCATTTCTGTTTGATTCATGTAAATCAAAGTTGAGAAGCTTTTCTTTAATCCTGAGGGCCAGATTCTCTTTGGGGCAGCCTTCCAG